GGCGGTGGTGGTGGTTCTGGAGGACCTGGTTCAGTCGGCAGCTCTGGCGGCAGCAATTATCGCTCCGCCCGCAACTACGAGAACGGCAATGGGAGCAACGGACCGCAGCCACGTTACGGCAGCGGCAACGGGAACGGCAACAGCAGTAATAGTAACTCCAATTCCAACTCTTCGACTGGCTACAACGGAAACGCAGCGAGCTCAGCCAACAGCGGCAAGACAGCATCTTCGTATGGGGCTTCGCGCGGCGGCAATGATGGAGGCGTGAGTGGCGGATATAGCAACAATTACCGCGACAGCTACGAGGACTCGCCATCGCACCAGCGCTACACCAACAACGGCCTTGAGCGGAACGGAGGCGGAGGTGGATCAGGAGCGGGATCGGGCAGTGGACCTCGCACTTACGGCAGGTCGGACTACGATCGTGGAGCAGCGCCCAGCCGCACGCCAACTCAGCGCAACGGCAATGCGACGTCGTCTCAGAACTCGGGCTCCACTTCCAATTCTTCGAACATTTCTCTGAACTCAGCATCAGCATTAGCAGGAGGAGGATCAGCTTCCCATACCCAGCAGCAGCAGTCACACCATCAACAGCAGCAGCACCAGGAACGATCCCAGGCGGGCAAGGCAAGCACACCGCCGCCGATTACCGGACGCTGGATACCACCATCGCTGCGTCCGCAGCATGGACTCACCCAAAGCGAGAAGAACGACGCCGTGTTCCGGCGCGTGAGGGGTATCCTTAACAAGCTAACGCCCGAGAAGTTCCAAGAGCTGAGCGATGAGCTGCTGAAGCTTGACCTCAACTCCATTGTTATTCTGAACGGCGTGATTTTGCTGATTTTCGACAAGGCCTTGGACGAGCCGAAGTACTCGTCTATGTACGCGCAGCTCTGCAAGCGTCTGTCCGAGGAAGCTCCGTCATTCGATAAGGAACCAAACAACTCTTGCACCTTCCTACGCCTTCTGATCGCCGTCTGTCGCGACAAGTTCAACAATCGGCTAAAGCGCGACGAGAACGATAACCGACCGCCGCCCGAAAATGAGGCCGACGAGGAGGAGCGCCGCCATTTGGCGAAGCAGCGCATGCTCGGCAACGTCAAGTTCATCGGCGAGCTCAACAAGCTCGACATGCTGTCGAAGACCGTGTTGCATCAGTGCATCATGGAGCTATTGGACAAGAAGAAGAAGCGTACGGCCGGTGCGCAGGAAATGTGCGAGGACATGGAATGCCTGGCTCAACTGCTCAAGACTTGCGGCAAGAATCTGGATTCAGAACAGGGCAAAGAGCTGATGAACCAGTACTTCGAGACGCTTGAACGTCGGTCAAAGTCTTCTGAATATCCACCAAGGATACGCTTCATGCTGAAGGATGTCATTGAGCTGCGCCAGAATCATTGGGTGCCACGCAAGTTGGGCACAACTGATGGCCCCGTCCCCATAAAGCAAATACGCTCGGACGACGACTCGATTATTCGCACCCCGTTCCCTAATCGCAACCGGGATATGCGTAACAACGATCGCGACTCGGACAGCTGGATGAATCGATTCCATCTGAATATACAGCCCGGCGGCTACAACGACATGTTTAGCGGACTGAGTGTCACGGGAGCTTCTCCGATTGTCTCGCCGTGAGTAATAACATTTTGTTTTTGGCTTCGAGAAGTAGATGGAAGATAGCCTTCTGTAAATTCGGCTTGGTTTCATTTTATGTAGGTCACTAGCAAAAAAGCGCAAGTAATTCGTACTCAATTGGGTCAGCACAAGGTGCTGAGGTAAATGGTTAACCTTGCCGTGTCATGACCCACTTGTGTATCGTAATGTATGTTTTCTTTACTCATTTACATGCAATTTGTGAACAAAGACATTTTATGTAAATTTGCTAAGCATTGAAGTTTATGATTATCAAGGACTTTTCATTCTTATACAGATAATTAATATACTCCTTATTTTTCTCTCAGGTTCGCCACCAGCTCAAACCGAGGGGATCGGGATCGCGATAATCGCCAGTACAACAATCGCGGCGATCGCAATAACCGGGACCGAGATCAGGGTGGCGGCGGTGGAGCCAACTATGGCAATCGCTACAACAAGCACAACCAGAATGGTGGGGGCAGCGGCGGCGGTTCGGGTGGAGGCTCCTCCAACAACCGCGATCGGGACGATTCGCGCCGGAATAATGATCGCGACAGGGATCGCAACGACGGGCAGTATGGGGGTAATCAGCTGCTGGGTAGCAAGGAGTTGGCACCGAGGTTCAAGCGCAACTTGATCACCACGAACCAGGATGCGGTGGAGAACTTGCAAATGCGCCCGGCAGCCAACTCCCTGCTCTTCCGAGCGGCCTCCCAGAATCAGAAGTTCCCGGGCACGCTGCCCATCTCGACGCCGCCCAACGGCAGCAGCAGCAACAACCAGGGCGGCAACGGGACTCAGGGCAAGGAACAGGGTCAGTTGTCCAACTCGCACTACCCGATGTTGGGCACGCCAACCTCTCATCTGATGAACCCGACTCGCCCATCGTCGACCCCGTCCGCGGAGTACGCTGACAACCGTACGCTGCTGGGAGTTCAGCAGGAGAGGGGTCTTAAGGCGACCTCTTCGTCGCCGAACTTTGGCTCGGCATCGGAGAAGTTAGGCGAGCAGTCGGCCGATGGTCCGGCGGGCAGAAAGGGCTCGCAAGATGGCAGGGATCAGGGCAAGAGTGGATCCTTGGAAAGGCCCAGCACACCTGCCGGAGGCGCTGGCGCGGCCAAGCAGCAGCAGAAGAAGGACAAGGGCCCTAGCAAGGAGGAGCTGTCCAAGAAGGCAAGCCAGTACTTCAAGGAGAAGTTCTACTACGAAGAGGAAGACACAGATGATACGAAGGCCGGTGAAGAGGTGAAGGTGACGGAGGAGGATGCGGCAAAGCCAGTTGATAGCGAGGAAGCTCCAGCGGATGAGACTGAAGCCAAGGATGATGCCGTTCCAACTTCGGGCACTCCAGATCGCTTCGCTGAGCTGGTGAATGGATTCCTCGAGCTGAAACTGCCCGAGAAGTCGCTAAAGGATGTGTGCATCAACCTGTTGATGGACGTATTGGACCGTGTCAACGATGTCTACCTGGAACGCGTTGTGCGCTTCCTGCAGGCTCTGCGCAAGCAGTCCAACATCAAGCCCAACGTCTTGGTGGAGGTCTTCAAGCAGTTGGTTAACAAAATGAACGAACGCGAGGCGCTGAACCCACGTATCACGACTCTTGTGGCCAGCGTGCTGGCCAAAACCGTATGCGAGCCGGCTCTGCTAAAGTTGAACGACGTGGCCAACTACACGGACAACGGGCAGCACTATCCGCTGTTCCTGCTCGTGCTGCAGCAGCTGTCCAAGAGCATCGGCAAGGATGCTCTGGAGGAGAAGTTCCGGGCAAGCAAAGTGGATTTGATTAACAGCCTTCCGGAGACGGATCGCAACAAGGAGCGGCTAGCCGCTATTCTGGAGGACCGTCAGCTGTCCTTCCTCTATCCCCTGCTGAAGGTGCAGGCCGAGATGCTAAAACAGCTGCAGGCCGATCCCAATCCCAACAACTTTTACAAGTGGATCAAGGCGAATGTCGACAACAAGTACTACAAGGACCCGGGCTTCATCCAAGCCCTTATGACCGTGGTGGTTAAGTACGTGACCAAGGAGTCGTCGCTGGCCCCCAACCTGGACCCCAAGGATCATCCGGAGAAGGCGGTGACCCAGAAGGAGCAGCAGTTGCTTGAAACCTACAGCCAGATGCTGCAGACCTTCCTGGGCCAGAACGAGCTCCAGCTGATGGCCCTCTACGCCCTGCAGACGTTCTGCTATAATGAGAATTTCCCCAAGGGTAAGTACCTTGAGTCGAGTGATCCTTATCCTCTGCCAGCCACTAACCCTTCTGCTCTCCCTCCCCGTTAGGCATGCTGTGCCGTTGGTTCAAATATCTGTATGAATCTGAAATTATCGAGGAGGAGGCTTTCGTTTTGTGGAAGGAGGAAATTTCCGACAAATATCCGGGCAAGGGATCCGCTCTGTTCCAGGTGAACGCCTGGCTGACTTGGCTGCAGGAAGCGGAATCCGAGGACGACGAGGATTAGTTGGGAGCACCACCACCACCAGCCCCACATACCGACAGCGCTATATGTTTATCACTTCCAATATATTTATTCACAAATCGATAATCGATAATGATTACGTGATGAAAAATGAGAATAATTAACAAAGCAAAAGAATAACGAGCAGGATTAAAGTTTGAAATCGCGACTTGCAAATCTTAGTCAAATTATAGTAGAAGAAAAGAAACAAAAAAACACAATTAATCCAAATTATTTGATATTCAAACAAGTTTAACAAATTAATTACCAATAAATAAAACGCAATAGAGAGACGCAGCAAACAAACTATATTTAATCCCATAAAACAACGCATAAACGCAAGCGAAATTAGTAAATTACCATTGACATTTTCAAGCATATTATACCAACGTAACTAACCATTAATTAGTGAATTTCATCTCGACTTCGACTCTTTTTTTTTTTATTATTGTCTAAATATAACAACCGGAACTGATTTTCTAATCGAATAATAATCTTTGAATTCTATTCTCTGCCACCTTATTTTGATACACTCTCCCTCGCCCGATTCCCCGATTGTGTATTTAATTAAGTAGGTCAAATATCAAAGCGACAACGTAAATATATGTGGAAAAACAAGCAAACAAACGAAAAACACCAATCGATGCGTGCAGAGGGAGAGCGAAACAACACAAATCTTATTGTAATTGTGAACAAAAAAAAATATCGTATATATGTATTTTAACTCAACAAAACGTAAACATACAAAAAATCTCGCCCACATCAAATATAGAGCCTTAAATAAATGCAACCAACACTGCGAACGGCGAAGATCCAAGAGTTTTATTTCCTCAACTGAGCTGACTTGCAATTCATATTTTGGCGCCATTTATCGATACGTTATCGCTATCGCGTTTGGGTAAGGGAACCCTGGTTTCTTCAAGTCCTTTCCAACACTGCCAGCCGCCCCAAGTCAAAATCTGCGCTTTCATCGTATCTTTTATTATTGTTTTTAGTTGCAAGAGTTTAGAAAACTCCTCTCACACCTAAATCCACTGCATCAATGGAGAGTGTAGCTGTTAAGGAGTTCCCCAAGGCCGCTGGAGATGCTGGCCAAGTGCAAGAAGCTGGCTTATTTACCTCGCACTGCTTCCACTTGGACGGGGGGCATGTGCAGTTTTTGGGGCGAGTTCTCAAAATGCAGGGCAGCACCTTGCTCATTGTGAACGGCCGGGAGGCGGAGACCTTCGACGAGCTGGCCATGGCCATGCCCGACCGCTATGACGCCAAGGGCAAGGCTATCTCCGCCTCCATCATGGGCGATCGGAACCAAACCGATTCATCTATCCTGGCCGAAAAGCTGAGCAAGCGCTACCAGAGGCAGTTCTACGTGAGCGTAAACGTTCAGATGGACCGACTGCTGCTACCACTGTTCGAGAAAGCGCTAGTCACCTACATGCACGACCATCTGGAGCACTTCGTCTGAGTACGTACTTTATATTTACCCCGGAGTCGTTGCATTTATTTCTGGTTCACGTGCACACACAGGGGCCGCCACCGATGACACGGCGCCGCGTGGGGGTCACTGCCGCTGGATGCGTCTATTTCGGGGGACCGCCGGCGACCCCACGGACGCAGCACCGCTCTTGTCTGGGCTGGCCGATCTCCGATCAACGCTCAGACGACATGCGTCGGCCGAGTGAGCGCGCAGTTGAAACGTATCGCAGAACAACCGATTTTTGTACAATAAATTTATTGCCCTAAGTAAGTTAACAGACTGCTGGCCGTATCAATTCTGTGTGTGTCGGGATTCGCGATAGTGCCCACCGTGTAAGGCGGAGGAGGTCACCCGTTGGGGGAGTGATCGCATGCCGGCCGCATGCTGACCACGGTTCCATCTCGTTTGTGAAGGTCAGTTAGCAGGCTGCACCGATGGCTCATTGGGTGATTTTTCCATCGAATTGTTTTGAGTTTGTTTACGTGACGAAGCTGAGGGTCAACTTGTGATTACTTTTATTATTTTGTGTTTTAGAATCTGCAATTAAGAAGAAGTGTCTTCAGTAGTTAACATTCATTCAAATATGTTTAGAGATGATAATTTGTTGATTCCTCTCTCAGTTTTAGTACCTGTTAAATCATATAAATTAGTAGGATTTCATTAAATTTGTGGTGAAACGTGCTTAAACGTCCTTGCTGAAAAGCGATGGTTCTTTGGTTGTAATCAACAAATCTCTTATTTTGAGGGAAGTTTGAATTGGCTTACGTGATGATCGGCAGGGCAGCACATTGAAAATGTCGACGCATTTTCGCGAAAGTATCGTATGTCGCTTTTTTTCGAAATTGAGATTTTAATGGAAAATTGTTAGGTACCTAATGTCTCACTACCCTGTGAAATATTATAACTGAAAACCTTATAGTTCCGATAAAAATTAAGTTTCAATTTTGTCTTTTCTATAGTGCTTCCTAAGAGATTAAAGCACAAAAAAGCTTCTCCTGTAAAATTGGATTTTTCGACATACGATACTTTCGCGAAAATGCGTCGATGTGTTTTCTGAAAGTGAATTTGTGCGGAATACATTTTATATATGTTTACAAAACATTATCAACAATAAAATTATCAGGAAATTTCAAGGAACCTCAATAATTGTATTTAAATGACATTTACGAGCTTCACGCATAATATTCCATCTGCTTTTATCAAATGTAATTTAATAATATTCTTAAAATTGTCATTTCTGTACCGTAACGGTAATATGTCTAGACTCTAGACCCATTCTTTACTTGGTTATAACCAAAGTCATTAATCGGTTTTGACCATGACTGGAATAAATTTTGGTTTTAGAACTCATGTACCAAGTTATCGAAAATCTTTGCAAGTAATTTGTACAAGTGCGATTAGTGTGTTTTATTTTTAATCATTTCCAAGTTGACTGGAATTTTAAATTTTAAACTTGTAATAGAATATGATGCTTTTTGGAAGTCGACTAAGGTTGTATTGATTTAAGATCAGGATCACTTGGTAGGTGTTATAATGTTAGTCAGATGTTTGCAACGTAGTGAAGAAGTCATTTCCAATCTTATAAGTTGTATATATAATCGTGATTAGCATCAACAGCCGAGTCGATCTTGCCATATCCGCAAAAAATATGTCAATTTTTCAATTGTTTTTTTTTTCGTTTTTCTTAGAAGTTAAGTTAGAAGTTAGGTTAGATTTGCCCAACATTTCTTATTTTAAAATATCGATTTAAAGCCCTTATTCTGAGCTGGTTTTAGTTTTTAAATCTGAATCCAAAGAAAAAATAATGAAATGGTTACTAACCTTCAGTCTTAAGTCATTAAAAATAAAAAATAAAAACAAATTTATTGTGAAAATAATTCGACAAAAAAGTTGAATAAATTTTTTACATTTTGTTAAATAATTTAAATTGTAGAAAAATGCAACTTAAGAATTAAAAAAACATTAATACATAAATTGGAAGTGTAGAATGAATTCCTAAAATTAAATGTCAAAGTACTCTTTATGTTTATGTTTAATAGCCACTCTTTAAACTGTGGATCATTCTCCCAAAAAAAGGCAAAGTCACTTCCTGCATGACTGCCGCAAAACATCATTACTGATATCTAATTTCTGTGGTTTTTCGAATCAGCATTTCTCTATAAACGTGCTGATATCGAGCATAAGTATTTTGATTGAAATAAACTTTGTAAAACAAAAATTGCCTGCGATCTCGTAGATCTATTGGCATTCTGAGACTTCCTGCTACAACGTCTATCATAAATCTAAGTCGCGCGATTAGCCTGAAGTCTGAATTACCCCCGCCAAGAATGTCAGTCGTATATCAAGGAAAAAAGCCCCCAGCGGCTTCTTGTTTGCCGCCAGAGAACTTCAATACACCTACGTACCATTGAAAACTTTTCCGCTTATGGCAAAAAAAATCCAGTAAATTAGGAAACGAAACAAAAAACAAACAAATTGTGCTGTGCCCCTCATAATGCCCAGTCTAGACGAGATATTGTCAGAGGCGTATCAGCAGGCCAGCAGTGGTAACTGAAGCAATGGGAGCGATATGCTCCTAAATAGCAACACCCATTGAACGGGTGTATAAATAGAGCCCCTGCCGGAAGGTCTGGGCTCCGGGGTCTGTTGTGTGGGCTCCCACGAATGTCTGGAATGCTTTTTTTTTTTTTTTCCCCTTTTTGGCCATATCAGACTCTGTCTGGCGATAAGCGGCGTATAAATAATAGTTCCGACTCGCCCAAAAATCGAGGCAGCCCTCTGTAATAAACCATCCATGGATGGTGCAGATGATGGCGGCGCAGCTCCATGCCGCAGATGCATGCCCGGTGTGACCGTGTTCGGGTGTCCGTGTCCCAGGGAGTGATGACTGGCAAGCCCGGGTCTGGGCATGATGGACTTTGGATGTCTGTCGCTTGGCGGCAACAAAGCAATTAGCCTTCCGCGGCGAGCATAGTCAGTCAGTCAGCTACCGTATCAGCTCCCAGTGGGTTCCACCGCGACCCGATAACACTGGTTGGACTTGGACTGGACCCTTCTCCGTCGCTCCATCGCTCCATCACTGCATCTCTGCATTGCGGTGATAAAAAGAAAACAACCCGAGTCGAGCGCACGCCCACGGCGTGGTTGAGAGATCCCATGCCACAGGCAATCCGCTTCAGCAGGGCTTATCGCCATCGGCCACCACCAGACCGGGCCACCTTTGCCAGCCATCCAGACCCCGCCGGTTATCGGTCGAGTGTTGTTAATTTGATAGAAATATTGAAACATCATCCCGCCCGGCTGCCTGCAATCCGGATCGAACCGGATCCCGATTCCGATCCCTCGAATGTCTGTCGCCCAGTTGGGTGCTTCGGATTTGTTTTTATTTACGCCGAGATTCGGACCACGGAAAATTAATAAGCGCACACGCTCCTCCTCCTCTGATCCCCAACAGAAATATTCGCCAATGTGTGTTCGCGGTTCCTCGTACTATAAAAGCCTTATCAGTCCGGACTCCGTAGAGCTTCTGCCGCTGGTCCCTGGGAATGTCCAAGGGGGGGAGAACACGGAGGCTGGTCGCTGGATCTGAGGGGGATCTGGTGCTGATGGGAGAGAGACAATCCCGTCTTATCGATGCGCACGCTCGCGCGCCATACAAAGTTCATCCTGGCGGTGCCAGAAAATCCGGATTTTTTTCCTCCCGTTCATTTTCGGTGATTTAACGAGCGGCGAGCGCTTGGCAAACATAAAAATTAGGTTAGGCCGGGGTCCTTCATCATCAGGCATCGCCGTCTTCATCTGCGCCCAAGGCCACGCTCTGGAAGATTCCGCTGAACTGACCTCGCCACGCGCGACTGTACTTCGCTCCGCTGGCTTATTATGATGATGGCGCGCTCTATGGTCTGATTCCCTATCTATTTATAAATCATGATTCCAAATCTGTTCCGTTCCACTGAGGGGGGAATCGAGGGACTGGGAATCGGAACTGGGTAGTGGGGTCTGAGTACTGATCACTGGTAATGGCAATGAGTCCACCTGTTACAACGCTGATAGAGGGCAAGGGCTTATCAATGTCCCTGATGTCATGTTGTCTTTACGTAAGCCGCCGCCAGACCCCACTCGGTGGCCCGTGCAGGGTGGCCGGATTACGTCCGAACCGGGGGTGGGCAACACACGAAGGTGGAGCGAAGGTTGCTCCGCCAGTGTGTGAATCACGGGCCCAGACAGCGCCGCCTGATAGCGCTGATAGCCACTGCCGTAGTCGATAGCGGCAGCACCACCAGCACCCAGCAGAGCTGGCGGAGCACAGAACTCCCGCTTCCCGTTGTCGTGCCATTCACGTCATGGCGCAGAAACTTTCGGCGCAAGATATGGAACAGCGGCAGCGGCATGTGGCGTCGTCGTCGTCTGTTGACTGGAGATAACCATGTTATCACAGTGCTCCAGACGCAGAAGCAGCACCCACACACTGAGGTGAAAACGCCTGGCCAAACCCAAGAATGAAATTCTCTTACTAGGGATTGTATAAATATATAAATTATAATATACATGTGAATGTAGGAACGTATGTTTGGATAGCAAAGCAGTTTTGGGCGTTGGAGACATTCCCTAATGGCCTTGTTTTCAGTCAAACGTTTGGGTTATTCCGACCCTATACATCATACAAATATATTCTTGATCAGCATCAACAGCCGAGTCAATCTAGCCAAAGTTCTGCCTTGTTAACATAGAAAAAAGAGAACAAAAATGCCTTTCGAATAGATTTTTAATGATTGATTTCATATCCCTGTTTAGAATGCAATCTGCAAAAGAATACAAACATTCAGATTTCCAAAGCTAACCTTTTTTCATATTTACTTTATTTTCCATCTTAATTTTACATATTTAATTCCAAATTTAGTTCTCCTTGTTTACTAAAAAGAATTACTTCATCCTCGTAAGCTACATATTATTGTTTTTTATAATTTGATTGCTTGAATTTTTCTGAATCATAATTATGATTAACTAAAAGTACCAAGTACCAATGGTCATTGATAAAGCAGCTCTGTGATCTTGCTGAGGGTTGTTTATTCTAGATTCTATAGAATCTATAGAAACTAAGACCGCACAGTGACTTTTCTAGATTTTCTGGACTTCACCCTCACTTCCGAGCACACAATGTTGTCGCCACAAAAATACCCATTGCCTTTTCCGAGTGCACAGCTGGTGGCGAAGTTGACGTACTACCTGGGCCAGAGTCAAGACAAGGGCTGGAGGGGTTTGAGGGGCGCAGGGTGGGCTGCCTGGTACGGAGGTGGGGCTGTGCTGGCGGGGAATTCGCTTTGCGGTACGAAGTGCAAGTCAGGCAGACGGCACTGCGGCGATAACGCTTGCCCCCCAAAGAGCGATCATCGGGCGCACACATGCAGGATTGGCTGGCTGGCTTGCTGGTTTTCCACTTGTGCGTTGATAAGCACACCCAGACCGCCACCCGGCTTCTCCTGCCCCCGGCCCTCCCACACCCAGCACGGAGTTACACTCCCGTAGTGTGTGCTTTTGCCCCAGATCCACATTTGCCCCAGTCTGGGTCTAGATTTTTTTTCCACCGCGTACGCTCGCACGCACCTGCTCCGCTCCGCTCGGCTCTCTAGTGTTTTGGTTCCGACAGCCAGCACCGTGCTCCCCTGGCCCGTCTGCAGCCTTCGGCGCTGATAAGAGGCTACTACCATGTCCGTCTGGCTGTTCTTATCAGCGGCCGGGTTTCGCATATTACCCGAACGCCAGCAGGCGGGCGGCTCATTCGATCGCCGAGCGCCTTAGCGAGAGCACCAGTCTCCCAATCTTCTTCTGAAAACCTGCTCCCACCATGGATATCATAGTACAAAAGTCAATCTTCAACAGCGGCCCGGCCAGAGGCCCGATATACGAGCCCGCCGGCTACTACACTCCGTACAACACCCCGCCGTACATAGCTCCGTACTCACCGGACCCGGGCACTTGGCTGGCGGATCACCAGCCGCAGCACCAGCAGATGCAGCACATCAGGTTCCCAACTCCGCCCATAACGCCGCCGCGTCCAGCCACCGGATACGGCTCCGGTCAAGCCCACCTCTCGCCCGCCGCCCACCGTCACCACCGCAGCGAGTCCGTCATCATGAAGGCCCAAGGCCACAAGGACGAGATGTGTCCCAGCAGTCCCGTGGAGTACCATGATGATAGCAAGTCCTGCAGCAGTGCCAGCGAGTGTGGCACCAGTCATGACTTTGTGTGCAACTGGATCGATTGCGATAGGTAAGAATCGGAGACTTTATTGGGGGATTACTCAGTCTACAGAGGCAGAAAATATTGTAGCCAGGAGAGGAGTTAAAAAAATCAACTTTAAAAGAGTAATATTTCCTTTTGAAAGCTGGGAAATATGTATTTACTTTTTAAAAGATTTCAATTCAATTCAATTGATGACTAAGAATTAAATCCTCCCGGAACTTACCAGTATATTTTCCCTTAAAGCCTGTCTTTATGAATCTTTTAAACGAAATCATTTCGATCAGTTCTTGCATATATTCATATAGTACTTAGTTACCAGGCAGTTGACCATTAAAACTGATTACCAGATTCAACAGAAAAATCCAGCAGCCGTTGTCTGGAAACGGCTGAACTTGTGGACTGAACTTTGTGATAAAGCTTTTGTGTGGATTCATAGCGATAATAATACAATTTTAGATCAAAGTAATAAGGCCAAAAATCTATTTAATAGCCAAGATAAACAGTAATTGGATAAATAGAACTTAACGCTAAAGAAATATACTTTTTAAACACCTTTACTTACGTGCAATTCTCCGTTTCTCCTCTTTACAGGGTCTTTGACACACTGGAGGCCCTTGCCCAGCACGTCACCCAGCGACATGCCATTGCCTCTATCAGCGACGGACTCTACTACTGCCGCTGGCGGGGATGCCAGCGCAGTGAGCGGGGCTTCAATGCCCGCTACAAGATGCTCGTCCACACCCGCACTCACACCAAGGAGAAGCCGCATCGCTGCCATCTGTGCGAGAAGTCCTTTTCGCGGGCGGAGAACCTCAAAATTCACATCCGCTCGCACTCCGGAGAGAAGCCCTACAAGTGCAGCTTCGAGGGCTGCCAGAAGGCGTACTCCAACTCCTCGGATCGCTTCAAGCACACGCGCACCCACTCCATGGAGAAGCCGTACATGTGCAAGGTGGCTGGCTGCCAGAAGCGCTACACAGATCCCTCGTCCCTGCGTAAGCACGTGAAGACCTTCAAGCACAGCATCCACCTGATCGCCAGCCAGCCCCTCACCCTGCCCACGCACGCCATGCCCCGCCTCCTCGAAGCCAGCAGCGACTCGGCTTTCATGTGCCTGCCCGCCGCCGCCGGCAGCGTAGAGTCCACCTGCTCCTCCACCTCTGCCCGCTACTATGACGACGCCAATAACGAGCCCAGCGACTACTCGCTGAAGCCCAAGCCGGATGCGGAGTACTCGCCCAGCTACTGGCTAAGCGAACGGCAGCACAGTTACCTCCAAGGCGAGGACGACTTTTACGTCAAGATGGACGTGGAGTCGCCCCTGGATCTGCGCATGCACAGAATTTGAACTGGCAACTGATGATGCTCCTGTTCGCCCCTCGTCTCTCTCTTCCCCGTTTCTAGTCATTGTGTGCTGTCCCCCAGCTCTTGTCACTACTCCTAGATTACTGTTTAACCTGATTAAAGACTGTTGTATTTAAAAAGAGATTTGTGTTTAAGATGGGGAAATGGGGCGTGAAATGGGGATGCTTCAATGTGAAATTTCCTATAGATTCTGCGATTTTTTAAATTTTAAAGCTCTGGTTATCAAGTCTATTGATTTACGTTCAGAAAGACAGGGATTTCCCAAGCAAAAGTTGTAGAAAACACGACCTTAAAGTGATTACTTTGGTTAGCTTAGAAGTTGATGATTCTATTGAGGGGTAATATACGTGGCTACAAAAAAAGGATTCCAATTATCTATGGAGAAATGTCTCTATGAAGTAATTATTTTTGGTTAGCATAAAGCTTATATGCAATGATGTCTCCGAATAGTTACCAGTTATCAGCATAATGTATTTATTCTCCTCAGGAGAGAATTCTTCTGAAAGTTGTTACATTAAAGGCGCTTTAAGAGGGGATACATATGTATATGTAGACATTTTTAGCAATTTTTTTGTAGGAAATAGTCCAGCAATCGTCGCCAAACTTTTGAAATAGTTAAAAGTAGCATCGGAGATGATGAAAAAATGTTGTTATAAACAATATTTTATAAAATGGCGGACCTATGGAATACATATGTATATGCCGCAGCGCCTTGACCTTTGAGTTTCCCCGCTATGGACACGAAAGAGATCTTAATTCCTTTCGGAACTTTGCAAACAAAAATTATTCATATTGATTGATTGATTGATACGTTTATCTTCTATTCGAACCTAAAAAACTCAAAAGAAATTATAACAAATAAATTAAATAAAGTTTTGAAGGAAAAATTCTATTTTTAGGATATTAGATTTCACTTCCCACCATCTTAAATAATAACAATACTCATTTTTAATACCCCTATTTAGGTTCAAATTGAAGATAATTTCATGCTGATGATAATAATTTTTGATTCACTCCGATATGTTGCATAGTTTTTTTGTGAATTGTGTTCGTAACATAGGTAAAAAAGCAAAAATGTAGAGTGGAGAAAAAGCTGTTTAAATTTTTTGATGCGCTCACGTTTTTGGGAGTCATTTTGCTTAAAATCCTAAAACTGAACACCTTACGAAAGGCCTGTAATTATGTATTTCACCCTCTAGAGAACTTAGATTAAATGAGATTGGCTTGCCCTCGATTTTGATTATAATTAAATATTACGGAATGGAAGGCAGGGCACTTGTTGGTTAACGGTTCAACTTTTACCAAAACACAGACAGACAATACACACTAACAACCAATTGGAAAATTTCTCGTGACCACAACAGTCACTTTTGATAATACTTTTATGGGCCCAAGCAGCGCACCTCAATCAGCTCTGTTTATGGGGAATATCCCCTATTCCAGGGGCTCGCAAAGAGAACGGGCTATTTGAAAATATTTATTGTTTAAATGCTCGCATCTAGAGGAGTTCTTATTTTCACAACTGTTGATAACAGATTTAAATCTTCTTTAAGCGGCTTATAGGAATGTTAGTTTGTCTAGAGATAACCTTTCGGTTCTTTTACACTAACAACAAGAACAAACAAAATAAATAGCAAAGTATTTCACATTTTGGAAATAGATAAATACACTTTAAAAGCGGTATCTGCGTATATACTGGCAACGTACTACATACTTAGTAGAACTAAAACATACAAATTATGATTACACATTATTATTATGGTTGCACGCGCGTCGATTAAGGAAACTAATACGTTGTAATCCCGCGAAGATCCGAGATCCGGGAATCCGCTGTACACTCTACGCCCTGAAGAATCGTACGACGCGTACGATATATTGTCGACAGATCGGACACTCGTTGAGCACCTTGCCACAGCTGGTACAGGTGGCCATGTGGCCGCACTCGAGGAACACGCACTCGATGGGCGCGTCCATGCAGATTTTGCACAGCTCATCCGTGGCCAGTTTCTCCACAGCTGAACGGGAGAAAGTGGAGCCATTAAATAAATATTGCATCAGATTGCACACACACGCTCACCTGGAGCCTCCCGCATGGTTTTCCACAGCCTGCTGACGCGATCAAGCAGCTCCTGCTTCTCGCAGCAGCCCTTGTAGTCGACGCGGTGCAGCATGAGCACCTCCTTCAACTGTTTCACCGTCAATGCCTCCAAGTCTTTTCTGCAAATAATAAAAAAAAGGACACTTGACTTTCGACATTCTTAAAGTGACTCCCTCCGAACTCACAAGTCTTCAAAGTCTTCCAAGTTTACGAAGCGCGAATCAATGCAGGCGGCGGGCTCATAGTCCGAGGGTGCCGCATACACATGGATGCCTTCGTCGTCCCAGCGAATGTCGTCCTCCTGCGTTGGCGAAAACTCAATTGTCGGGGTAATGGGCATGTCCGGCGACCTTCCGCCGGCAGCCACGCTGATCGCGTCCACGCTCAGAGGCGAAACGGCATGGCTGCCCGACTCGGAGGCCTCAACCGACTTGGTACGTTGCTCCAGGTACGTGAGGAACTCCTGAAGTTCGCGCTTGATGTCCTCCTCGGACATCTGCGAGTTCTCCAGGTGCCGCCGCATTCTCTCCACATGCCGACGGATGTTTGTCTTGTTCTTGCCGCAGCGCTGGCAGCTGTTGCGATGCGAGTGGGCGTGCAGGCCGGACTCGGGCTGCTCGCTCAGCGTAGACAGTCCGAGGCTTAGGCCAGGTCCACCGGGTGCCACCGGCGACTCCTCATCACTGGAGTGGTGCCGGCGATTCAAGTAGCCATCGGAACGGCGCCGGGTCACCTTTTTAGTGCGCTGCGGCACGGCGGGATGTGACGCTGGAGTCGGATTGGCCGGACGCTGCTCCATGTTTAGGGCCTGGGTACTCTCGCACTCTTCCTGCCTGCCGTCCTCCGCAGGAGCCGGTCTGCCGCTTCGGAGAGTAACCTCCAGAATCTCCTCGGCGGCACTCGTGGTTGGCGTTGCGTCCACAGCCTCGATCCTGTTCACCTCCAGCACCTGCCACTGATCCAAGTGGCTGCTGTTGGTGTCCGTGGTGGCCTTACTCTCGTCAGAGATGCCGCCGATGGCTCCCAGCTCCTCGAAACTAGACTGCGACGAGGCATCCGCCTTGGAACTGCTCGAGCCCGGCTTGGAGCAGACCGGACTGGTGTTGTTGGCAGTTTCTAGGCCCCCAGGGCCATTTATGGCCGCCTCCAGGGCGGCATCAGGGTTCGGCACTGGTGGGACACTGTGGTCAGTTCGGAGCGACAGCGACACGCGCTCGCTGAACGTGGCCATAATCTCGTCGTCCGAACACTCGCAGTCGTCGGACTTGATATCACGAATGCCGTCATTGGCTGCCTGGCCCTGAGTGGACTCTTGGGACCCGCGGGCCCGGCTGTCGCTGTGGCTGGGGCTGCTTGGCGAGCCGTTGGCATCGCGGTTGCTCGATGCCGGCGTGGAAGTTGAAGGACTGCTGCTGCTCTGGGTGCCCCCATTAACGGTGGCCGCTGGCTGGACATGGACCGAGCCACTGCCCGATTCCCCGTTCACCGAGCTGGCGTACGTGGGAATCTCGCGCGTGGACACCCGCGGCTGCTCGAATATGTGTGAGGGCGCCTCGGCGGGCTGCCTGTTCTCCGGCGGCTTGCTGCTAGCCTTGGAATCGAACGCGGCGAACGAGTCGCTTAGGTTGTCGGTCAGGTTGGTGAAGAAATTTTGGCACGACTGCTTGAGGTTGTCGATGGGGTTGGCCTGCCCGCGGCCCGGACTATTGGCGGAGGCGTTCGAGCCGCGTCCGGTGTCCATCTGGGCCACATGAGCCAGCACCAGTCCGACCAGCTCCTCTTTCTCTGCAAATGATCGTCTGGGTAATCCGAGAAACCGTGTAACTGAAGACCGGCGGCATGACTCACCTAGACAGCCCTCAGTGGAAATGTGTTTGGACTGCAGATAGAAGATCAGGTCCTTCGGCTTGAGCTTCAGCAGATCCGTTCTGAGCAGCGGGCGCTGGGCAAAGATGGAGCATCGTTGGCAGCGCCTGGCCACAATGCAGTTGGCACAGTAGTAGCGTCTGCGGGAGAGGAGGCAAGTTAGGCAGTCAGGCATATCGAATGTCACTCCCCGGAATCCCCGGATTACTCACTTGCAGTCGAAGCAAGCGCGCTTGCGACGAAAGACGGTGAACTCAACACCGCAGCTCTCGCAGGGCATCTTGGCGGCCGGGGCTCTGGATGGTCGGTCAGTGGGGCTGCGGCCGGGGCTGCTTCGATCGACCCAAAGGCTGTATCCTTGCTCCTTCCTGCTCCCCTTCCGTCTGCTCACGCCCCGAGCGCTGGCATTGCATTTGTTTTTCAATGTCAACGCCGTGAATCACTGCTGGTGGTGCGATGTCCTGGCAGCGGTTTTCATGTCCGCCTCGCGGCGACTTGGTTACGACGGCACTGGGATTCCCCTCACAGCTGGCTCATGGGCGACGATTTCGAAGGGTCTTGCAATGATTTTGTAAATTTTTATCAGGCAAAATAGCAACTTTTAGTGCTGGCTCGACCACTCGCGATAGTATCGATACGCTGAATTGGTGTGCGCGAGCCAAGTCGATGACCAGATTGCAGTTATCGGTCCGAACACGTATCGATAGCAGCCCCGTGGGCGCTAGATTCGAACTCGAACTGGTTAATTTGCTTTAACTAAGACAAAAACATTACTCAGCTCGATTTCCTCTTTTTGTTGCTTTTATTTAATTCACATCCACTACTTACAGTTAAGTATGTAATTGTATGCATTTAAATATAGGTAAGTGCCATAAAATGTTGCAATCTTGTTTGTTGTTAAAATAATACATCAATTAGTCGCTAAGTATTATTATATACGGTCTGCCTTTTGCTCCGCCAGCAAAGTCATTTAGTTTGCTTCTTCCGTTGATTGAGCTTTTGCGAAATTCTTGTCTCGATAAGTCTTTAATTACAAAACAAATGCGTCCGTTGCTCCGGCCAAAATGTTTCCCATAATAACTGATGGCAGTTGGAGGAGGAGGTCCTCAAGCAGCGCCAGCACCGCATCGTTCGTTTTCAGTGGCTATACGTGTATGGTTTTCCCCGGCCTTCCAGCTTCCTTTTTCTTGGCGAGAACTTAAGCAGCAGCAGCAAGAGAGCTAGTAATCGAGGGAGAGTGAAAATGTACATGTGCTATTTCTATATTGGCGAGTTGAACGTTGCTTGTGGCCCTGAAGAGTGTGGAAGATACTGCTGCTGCTACTACGAGACCCGATGTGGGTCCTCGGGCTTGCAGCGGCTCTGCAGGGGATCGTCGTTGTTGTTGTCATCGTCATGGATGCCCGCCGACTCCAGCGCTCGGTTCTTCTCGTAGTCGACAAAGTCGTCGAAGAGACTGGGCCATGCTTCGGTGTCGTCATAATTTTGTATATCACATTGTTCCGTAAAGTTGAGGTACATGTTCCATGTATCCTTCGGTATGCGGCGAATATTCGGGTGCTTTTCGAGGAAGTGCATCCAGTTGGAGAAGAGATCAGGTGTTTGTACAGTGAACACTAGTTTCCACAGGTCGATGGCCATCTCCAGGGAGAGGACGCGCTGGTCGGGCTCCAGGCCAAAGCTGAAAGAAATCGATATTAGCCATTGCACAGAGATTCCCTTGGCGCCGGCAATGTCATACCGAAAGGTGAAGCGGTAGAGCTGCTTGAACATCTCGGCGTCCGCCTTAAGCATCTCAATTGTCTGCTCCAGCCGCAGCCGGATGCTCTCTATTGTGTCCGCCCGCATCTTTATCAGCCCCTCGATGAACTCGGTCTTGGTGAAGCGGCACATCTGCGAGGCATCCAGGCACCAGGCCAGGACGAGTATGGCGAACTCATCGGGCTGATAGTTGAGGTCATTGCACAGGCGCTCGATGCCGTCCGTGAGTATCATGTCCTCGTCGTCCGGATCTTTGTACACGTCGTATAGTTGGTTCAGGCTCTGGTGCGACACCTCCATGGACTCCTTGACAGCTGTGTGCGTTAGCGTTTGTGTTTGTGGGGGAGGAGGAAACGTGTGAGTAGTACTTTATCAAAGAGGGGCTGCTGACTCACCAGTTGTTATAATATCGCTCATGGTGGGCGCAGTGCCATTAAGCAAACCTAAAGACTTAAAACTATTACGCTTAGTATCACAATTGTTTGCTTTTGCTGGCTTGAGTGGAGTTCGGCTAGAGAGCAGCTCATCGGTTTCTGAGGGGAGGAATGGAATAGAACCAGGCGGTTACTGCAACTATCCATCCCATATGGACGGTATACTCACCGCGCGGCCGGTCGTTGTAGAGGGCGCAGCGCTCGTTGGCATTGGGATTAGTGCCCACCGAGTCGTAGCAGTTGGCCAGGCTGGTGGCCGCCGGGCAGGCGTTGGAGTTGGAATTGGAATTGGGGGACGAGGCGTTCGTTGGCAACGATTGTTCGGCGGCAGACTGGAAGCATTTCAGGCAATTGCCCATAGTGCGGGCGGGGTGCTCCTGGCTCCTGACCCCTGGCTGCTCCTACCCGGGCTGCCCTAGGAAGAGCTCGCGCTGGCTGCCAGTTTTGTGTGCTAACTTCTGGGTGACACTTGGGAGTGTGATTGTTGGAGGCTGTTATTGTTGTTGGCGTGGTAGTGACTCCTGCTGGACCTATTTACTGGGCATCGACGTTGGCACTGCGATTCCCGCTGGCTTCCCCTGATCCAGTTCTCCAGTGACTCTTTGTTTCTACTGCTACTGCGATTGCTACTGCTACTGCTGCTGCTGCTTCTGCTGTTGTTATTTTGATGCCTCCTACGCAAACGCACACTCATCTGGGTGTCTGTGTATACGTGTGGCTGTGGCCCTGTGGCCCAACTGCTGCAGCAATCACCACCACCACGAATCGCGCTCGCTTGTGCTCGTCGTGGTCGGCGCTTTTCACATCTTCACTTCAGCACATTGCATTTGCAGTTTTAGTTTAATTTTTTATTGACTTTATTAACTATTTTTTCCTCCGTTTTTCACTTGTTAAAATGTATCGATAGACTCCAATCTGAACCAGTGTTGCCAGATGAAAATTAGGTTCTCGTCCTAAAAAATCGCAAAATGTTGAAATTTCCCCTAAAAAAACCAGTGTTCCCCCTAAATTTTAAAAACCAGTTAATTTAAAAAATATAAGGAAGAAACATCGTCTGAAAACTCGGTTTTGAAAGCCTCTTCGTTTAAAAAAGTTTGCACATTTGTTCAGTTGGTTCAAAGTTGTTGCAGTTGTGGAATAAAGTTGGTCTAATGAGAAGAAGAGTATCAGCGGATGTGGTTGCTATTTTATTATTATTTTTTTATAACGTTTAATACAGAAAATGCTCTTTCAACGGAGGCATTGGAATATGGTAAGCTTAAAACCGACATGGCTATCTTTGAAAATATTTTATTTTAACAGCATCGGTTTCATCATTTATCGCTGCCCAATATTAAGATTTGTAGTAAATCATGAAATGTATTAATAGTATTAATACAAGTTTAAAAAACCCCTAAATATAGGGAGGGAAACCTCTAACCTGGGAAAATGGTATTAACCATTTCATTCCCAAAATTCCGTTAACCATTTCATTCTCAAAATTCTGTTAGTTCGTAACCAGGGCTGCACTTTCGATAATGAACTCGCAATCGGAACCAGGGCTGCCAAGAGCTGCGTGTCAACGATAGTTATTTTTATCGCTGAAAGTGTGTGTGTGAGAGAGAGCTAAAGTGGGCGATAAAAGTTAACGGACTTACAAACTATTTATGTTTGTGAGAATATTAAATTGTAGCTTTATTCCACTAAAAAAGGTCTATGCTGTCTAATTTTATAAGAATGGAAATTCAGAATAAATTGTAATTGGCAAATCTGCGTATTCTTAAAAAAATTAAATTAAATTAAACATTTTTAATTAAAAAGCATATTTTTTAAGTCTCCACAATCATATCTTATGTACTTTTATTTTTGTTTGTTACCTTAGAAACCCGTTACCTATAAGCATACTTTTATCGCTCACTGTCCGTAAGGTGAGCGCGCCGAAGTTTGAGCCAAGTTAACAATTTCATTCAACAACATGGAGTCGGAGTGGTAGAAAGTGCTTCCGGGTAAGTGCTGTAAGTGCATATTCTACCGATCGCGAAGGAAAAAGAAAACTTTCGGTTGGCCGAAAAAGAAAAGTGTCAAGTGGGAAAATCCCACCTCCTGTGCATATGAAAAGCGGTCATGAACGGGGACAGCAGAAACTCGATCCGCACCGAAATGTGTGTGTTGTTTGTGCTGTTTATTTACGGTGCAGGCCACCGTCGTGTGTATATCCGTGGTATAATGCTCGACTGCCCCCCGATTTTCGGCATTTTGGGCAATTGAAAACCAGCCAGCGCAAGGTTGACTGAACTTGGGGCAGCCGTTGTTATTGCTGTTGGTAGTTGAGAGTTGAGAGTTGGGCTTGAGCCCGATATGTTAGCCAACTCCAGCTCGACTTGTGTATGTACTGACGTTGGTAGTGCGCGTATGTGGCTAAGCGTGTGAGTGCGCGTGCGATTCTCCGGCCGAAGACACACTTTTCTTTTTTGTTTCTTTTTGGATTATTAATTTACAACGTGTGAACGCTGCTGGGGGAAAAAGGGTAACAAATGAAATCTGCTTAACGGACAACTCGTCGGCTCATCTTCCCAACACGCTTGTCACTCGAAGAAATTGGGGTACATACGAAGTATTTAAATACATAGTATATATAATTTCTGAAATATGATATTGAAAATAGTACCAAAGCTAAGTAAATATTATTGTCTTCTTAACTAGGTCTAAATTTATTTCAAATACTGTAAATAAATATCCATTAACTTAAAAAGTTTATGATATTTTTAAAGATTATAAAAGCCAGTAACTCAATCTGAAGTAAGAATTTATCGAACTGATAAATTAACTACTTTAAAGAGGGCTAGTCCTAAGTCAATAACAGCTGTATTCCATTACGATATCAATCGAAAAAAGACGGAAAAACCATTTTTCTATATCTGAAAAAACAACTTTTTCGGACATTTTAAACCTTTTTTTAATAACCCCTTAAATCACAAAATATATGATAGTATATTCATTTCCAATTATTATGCATTAGGTATACATAGCTTTGGCCATGGCCGACATTTCCCTGGGTATTTGGAGTATGTTGTCCATGTAGCCGGCCAGCTCATTGGCATTTACTTCGCTGGAATTCTGGCACCGAGATACATAGGGAGGAGTACGTGACTCGAAAATTTCTCCCTTCAGATTTTCGCACTCTTGGATCAGGTCATGAAAATCATAAGGGAGGCCCCGAGGTTTCCTGGTCATCTGTTTCTCTTTCTGCATATTCTCGCACTCATCAGTGAGGGCCTTCATATCATAGATCTTCGCAGTGTCAGGAAATTGTTTGCATTTGAAACCGCAATTAAAGTCCTTGATCCTAACCCAGCTTGAATTTTCCTCTGAATTGCTGAGAATGCTTTTAATCCACTCTCCAGAATTGGCCTCGGACTTTCCCTGGCGGCAGTTAAGCTTAGATTTTACCAGCAGGTTGGAAGTGTCCCTCTTAACTCTTAGGATTTCCTTAATCCACTCCTGTGACTTGCCTTTGGACTTTCCATGGATAAGTTTGGATTTTTGCAACAGGCTTTTGTGTTTCAGCGGCTGCCTTTTCACTACCGGTTTCTTCAGTGCTAAGTCAACTTTTGAGCAACTAACCATTTTGTAATTATGCCAGCAACCTGCAAAAGTATCCTGATTGGAAACATAGTTTGAATAGTCAAAGTGTCTCTTCCATTCCTCGACACTGGACCTCCATTGGAGGAGCCCCTGTAGAGGGGACTTTTGCAGCAGACTCTTCTGCTTCAGCGGTTCTCTATTAATTTCCAGTTCCTGCACTTGGGTGACGCTATCCGAAACTAAGCCCAATTCCATTTGGAAGCTAGAAAACTCAACTGGAATAAAACCAGAACCCCCAATAGGAAGGTTTGTGTCCTTCTTAATAATCCCTTGCTTCAGCTGATCCTCCTTTAATTGGGTGCATGAAACGCAGGGCTCCAGTGTAGAGCCTTGGACAGGCATGATTCCTTCAATGTCCTAAATTTGCACCCCTTTATAATGCTAATGATACTATACTATTCCGTGTGAATGTTAAATATGTGTTGGGAAGTACACTTCAAAGCCTATTCACAGGGGTTTGAGTTCCTTTCAGTTCCAGTTCGATACGAGAATTTCCAGCGCCCGTCTGATTGATAGATAGCACAGCCTCAAGATGTCTTCGGATCGGTTTCACAAGTGAGTACATGCAATTAATTTGGTTCTATCTTATCGCTTCCCCTCGGCATGCACAAGACTCATTAACGGCTTTGATAACCCCTGCAGAGCCGCTAAAGATGGGCTGCTGGATGTGCTGGCGGCGGCCACTAGAAAGGACACCAATGCCAAGGACAGTGACTCCATGACGCCAGTGATGTGGGCCGCCTTCGAAGGGCGGCTAGATGCGCTGCGGCTGCTGTGCGGAAGGGGGTGAGTCCCGGGAGTTACATACTGTTTCCATCCTCTCTGATCAATACTTTTCCATCTTCTTGAAAGTGGTGACCCCGACAAATGCGACCAGTTCGGGAATACAGCCTTGCACCTGGCCTCCGCCAAGGGTCATCTGCACTGCGTGGACTTTCTCGTGAAGTTTGGTGTCAACATCTACGCCTTGGACATTGACAAGCACAGCGCGAAGGACTTGGCCGCCATCAATGGAAGAGATGAAATCCTGCGTTACCTGGACGTGGCCACTGCCAACTTTGAGGCCAACGAAAAGTAAGGAAATTAAAAGCTCAACCTTATAGTACAACTTCTCAAAAGTTTTCCTTATATTTTTGCTCAGGAAAAAGTCCAAGGCCTTGAAGGAGCTGGCCGAGAAGAGTTGCGAGAAGCGAGTGCGTGAGTACATGAAGCGGCAGCAGCAGCGCCAGGATCCCGAGTACGCTGACCACAGTCCACCTAGCGGACCCAGCAAGTCGGGGAATATGCTCTCCACGCTTAAGCAGAAGATCTGGTCCAGCCAGGGCAATCTGAACAAGCCGGCCAGGGATCATCCGCCTCCGCCGCCGGCGCCCACCAAGTTCAGCGATCTGGTGGGCAGCGGGAGCAGCAGCAGTGGCGGCTCAACGATAGCCAGTCGAGCGGGCACAGTCCAGAAGCGACCGTCGCAGGCCCAGAAGCAGCACACCAGCTCGTGTCCGCACTCAAAGCTGTCCGCTGGCGACGGGGACTTTAAGGTCCGTGAACTGGAGCCGGATGGCAAGCGAACAATCACCTCGCTGACGGGCCTGCAGCGGGACTCTGAGGTGATGTATGTGGGCACCTTCAGCTCCAACGAGGACAGCGTGGGCAAACGCGGAAAGATCAGCGATGTCTTCGAGTGCCTGGAGGCCGATGAACCGGATAACAACGACCATCGCAGTGGCTACAGCTCGGCCTTGGCGCGATCCTTCTCGCAACCAGATATTCTGGGCGATGGTCCCTTGGCCCAGGAGCTGAATGAGGAGATGACCCTGCAGCGACCCGTGGGACTCTTCGATAGACCCACCATGTTGGGCAGTATTGCCTTCAGGCGATCAGTGACCGCCGCCTTGAGCCAGCTGCAACTGCACACGGACACCAGTTCCACGTCCACGATGCGAAATGCGGGCAGCAATCCTTCAAAGCCGCGAACTGGCGGTGGCAAGGGCCGCCTGTACCTGAACCTGTCCGACGACACGGACTCTGAGGGCGGAGGACACGACATCTACAGCGACGAGGACGATGACGATGACCGGGAGTCGGCGGGCAGTGCCCTGCAGCGCTTTCTGGCCGTCTGGGCCTTGGAGGAGTACCTGCCAGTGTGAGTGATCCTGGGAGTTTTGGGTTAAAGATTCCTGAATATGTCCTCTCTTACCCATTGCAGATTTCAGAAGCAAGAGATCGACCTGGAGACATTGATGCTCCTCACGGAGGCGGACCTCAAGTCGCTTGGTCTGCCATTGGGACCCTTTCGTAAGCTGACCTTCGCCATCCAGGAGCGACGCAATGCCCTGGCCAATCCCGGCCCCCTGGTGGATAGTCGCCTTTAGTTCAAGAATTATCGTTCTATTTGGTCTTAATACTTTTCAACACGTTCTACTAGCCTAGTGTACATACTAAATTAAAGCCTAATTTGTATCACCCAAAGACCTCGTCCACATTGAGTTAGGTTAGCCCGCCACCTGCTGCATCAGGTAGAGGTTGGCGTAGATGCGGTTGAGGGCCATCAGCTCGTCGTGGGTGCCGTGCTCCACCACCACGCCGCGCTTCAGCACGCAGATGAGATCCGCGTTCCGCACGGTGGTCAGGCGATGGGCAATGGTCAGGCAGGTGCGGCCGGAACGGGCCTCGTCCAGGGCCTGCTGCACCACCTTCTCGCTCTCGAGATCCAGCGCCGAGGTGGCCTCGTCCAGGATGAGTATCTTGGGGTTCCTGACCAGCGCCCGGGCAATGGCAATGCGTTGCTTCTGGCCGCCGGACAGCTGCGAGGTCTTGCCCAGCCGCGTCTCGTATCCCTGGGGCAGGGCACTCACGAAGTTGTGGATGTTGGACTTCTTGGCCGCCTCGATGATCTCCAGCATGGAGACGTCATCCCGGAAGTTGTTGCCATATGCAATATTCTCGGCAATGGTGCGATCGAAGAGCACCGGCTCCTGGGATACCAGGCCCAGCTTGGAGCGCAGCGTGTCCAGTGGGAAGTCTGTGCTGGGCACTCCGCTAAGGTTGACGGATCCCGAGACGGGATCGTAGTAGCGGAGCAGCAGCTGCACGCAGGTGGACTTGCCGGAGCCGGAGGGACCCACCAGGGCCACCGTTGTGGACTTCTTAATGGTGAGATTCAGGCCCTCCAGGATGGGAGTGCCCTTTCTCGTGGGGTACTCGAAGCCCACGTTCTCGTAGACAATGTCTCCCTCGGATTTCTAAATGGATTTAAAATGATATATAAGAAGTTATCTTAGCCAAAATCGTATGACAACTCACCTCTACCGTATTGTAGGGACTCTGGGGTGGATTGGGCTGCGTGGAGGTGGCCTTGAAGAGCTCCATTAGGCGTCCTGCGGACAGGATGGCATCATTTACATTCGGAGCATAGGCCAGGGCCTGTCCCAACATCCAAGAGCCAAAGATCAGGGCCTCCGCCACCTTGATAATATCCTCGTAGTCCATTTTATCGTCGGCCACCAGAATGCCGCCATAGTACATGGAGATACCGTAGGCCAAGAAGGGAGCAGCCTGTCCCAGGGCAAAGACAAGACCACGGAAGCGCACCTTGCGCCGACAGGCGGAATCCACGCGATCGATCTGCTGGATATACTGATCCAACACTTGTCGCTCCAGGCCCAGACCATTGACGGTCCTGATGTGGGTAATGGCCTCAACGGCCACCTGGGAGGCATCCTCCACAGCAGCCTTTGCTGTCTGGGCACTCTTCATGATGAAGCGACCCTCCAGGTAAACTGATAGACAGACCAGCGGCAGGGTGACGAGCGTGAGAAGCGTCTGCTGCCAGGAGAACACGAAGCCAACGACCATGCCGACCACCAGAGTGGCCACTGCCTGGAGCATGGTTCCCACACGGGCTCCAGTTGCCTGTTGATAATAAAATTCCAGACTTAGCAAACTGTAGGGAGGTAATAAGAATTTTAAAAACTCACCCCCTGAACGTTGGAGCAGTCGCTGGCCAGGCGGGAGCACAGAGCCCCCACCGAATTCTTCTCGTCGTCGAAATAGGCAATGTCCTGGCCCACAATGGTGGCAAAGGCCCGCTTCCTTAGACGCGTGGTCATCTTGACTCCAGCAGCGGTGAACATGTAGGTCTGGAGCATGTTTCCCAGTCCAGCCATCAGGCCAATGCCCACAAAGATCATCGAGATGTTGATCACCTGGCGACGCACTTCCTCGTCGTCGCCGTTTGAGAGAATGCCAAAGAAGTCGCCGAAGAAGAGGCCCCACAGCGGGAAGGTGGAGCCGTGCATCACGGAGGCAATGCTGCCCACCACCATTAGACGCCACTCTGGAGCATTGAGCTTCATCAGCTGGGTGAAGGACACTTTGGGCACCACTTCCTTTTGCTTCTTCTTCTTGTTGCGACGCTGCGAGCGACCTGGAAAATGGATTTGTTGAGATGTTAGTAAAGATTTTTTGAATATTAAAATGCTAAAAAATATAAATATTGTACCCTTAGATTCTTTTATTATACCCTTGCAGGGTATTATAATTTCAGTCAGAAGTTTGCAACGCAGTGAAGGAGACGTTTCCGACCCTATAAAGTATATATATTCTTGATCAGCATCAACAGCCGAGTCGATCTAGCCATGTCCGTCTGTCCGTCTGTCCGTCTGTCCGTCTGTCCGTCTGTCCGTTTCTACGCAAACTAGTCCCTCAGTTTTAAAGCTATCTCAATGAAACTTTGCATATAGTCTTCTATATGCTCTCACTGCTATATATGTCGGAACTGGCCGGATCGGACGACTATATCATATAGCTGCCATACAAATGTTCGATATATTTTTAGAAACAAAATTATAACTTTGCTGTTTTTCAACATTTTTGCACCATTTTTTAGATATGGCCATTTTATATTATTTCGGAATTTTGGTAAAAATTTTATGAAAATCGGACGACTATATCATATAGCTGCCATAGGAACGATCGGGAAATTAATAGAAAAAAATTATAGATTCGTTGTTTTTCAACGTATTTTCATCTACTTCGGGATATAAGCTTATTTTATTATTCTAGAATTTTGGTATAAATTTCAAAATAATCGAACAACTATATCATATAGCTGCCATATAAACGATCGGTAGATGTAGGGAAAATGTAAAGCTGGAAATGCAAAACTGTAACTGTCAAACTGTAAACATAATAAGTATAGGTAAAATGTCATGAAATAATATCTGCAAGGGTATACAAACTTCGGCGTGCCGAAGTTAGCTTCCTTTCTTGTTTTTGTTTTAACATATTTTACCTTTAAAACTTTGATTTGGCTAGAGATATTTTGTCAGTAGTCTCCTGATTGATTCTTAAAAGGAACTTTTTATTTCTAAGATATCTATTAATTGGTTTTTAAAATTCTTTTGTTTATGATTTTACATTTCTTTATATATTATATCTTTATAAAGTTATTTTCATGTGTATTCCTAATCTTTTTTAATAAAATATTTCGTATAAAGCTTTTCAATGATTCAATTAAAACTTACAAATCTCAAACTTTATTAAATAATAAACTTAAATTTTTGTTTTGGCAAATAATCAAATGAAAATATAAAAATTAAACAAAATCTAAACCAGTTTCAGGTACAATATCTTATAATATATAATCTAAAAGCAGACCTGCAACACTTTATGGGTTATAAAATTACTTCTTTTATCGTTCCTTCCATTTTTTGTGTTTAAAAAATTTTCATTCTGTATAAGAACACCAAATTTCCCATAAAAGCGTGGTAGTTTATGCACTTCAAGCCACTGGTTTTTCAAGGCTATGTTCTTTGAGTTTTACACAGGAAAAACTAGGTTCTTGAGTTGAAAAATTATAGGCATAAAAAAATTATTTAAAATTCTAATGGTAAAAAAACTAGAGAATACAATTTATATTCTTTAAAATCAAAACTAATTCTTATAAAGCAATAACTTTTCTTAAATATGTTCCTTTGCCAAAATACTTTAAGTGTAACCTTCTGGTTTCCACTTCTGGTACTTACGCTTGCGTCGCGTGCTGGCTCTAAATCCGCTTTCCCGGCTGCTGCCCGTTTGTAGCTCCGGCTGCCCGTCCTCCTCCTCATCCTCCTCGTCGTCATCATCGTCGCTCTCCTCGTCAGACAGGTTCTGCGTCTTTTGCAGGGGCCGGGCCTCGTCCCCCTCCGCCTCGGTGGCCTCCTTCCGCCGCGTGATGTTGACCAGGTCGCAGTAGAGACCCCTGCGCTCCATCAGCTCTTCGTGGGTGCCCTGCTCTGCCACGACGCCATCCTTGAGGAAGACAATCTTGTCCGCATTGGTAATGGTGGACAGGCGATGGGCCACCACCAGAGTGGTGGGTCCTTGGCTGGCCAACTCCAGGGCGCTCTGCACGCGCTTCTCGGACGTGGGATCCAGGGCAGAGGTGGCCTCGTCCAGGAGAAGCACCTGCGGTTGCCGCACCAGCGCCCGGGCGATGGCAATGCGCTGCTTCTGTCCGCCGGAGATCTGGGCACCCTTCTCGCCCACCTGGGTGTCGTAGCCCTTGGGCAACCTGCTGATGAAGTCGTGGCAGTTGGCCGCCCGCGCTGCCTTCTCGATTTCCGCCTGGGTGGCGTCGGGCCTTCCGTATCGGATATTCTCGCCAATGGTGGTAGCGAAGAGAACCGGTTCCTGGCCCACCACTCCGATCTGGGAGCGGAGCCAGCCGACGTTGAGTGTGCGAAGATCCCGTCCATCCAGTTTGACGCTGCCCGCCTCGGGGTCGTAGAATCGCTGCACCAGCTGGATGAGGGTGCTCTTGCCGCACCCGGAAGCGCCCACAAAGGCCACCGTCTGGCCCGGCAGCACGTCCACTGTCAGGCCCTTGAGGATCTCCACGTCGGGACGGGCAGGGTATCGGAACCGGATGCCCTCGAAGCGGATGTGCGCGGCAATGCTCTCCGGTCGGTCACCCTTCTCGTCCATGGGGTCCACCTGGGACGGCCGGTCGATGATGTTGAACAGCGTCTGTCCAGCGGCAGTGGCCACGGCGATGGCCTCCACATGGGGCGAGGCGAAGCCCAAGTTCTGGGCACCCATGATTACAGCGAACAAGACGATGACCAAGACGGCAGGCGTGTAGACTCGATCGGGCAGATCTCTTTCGTCCAGAATGAGGGTAACGCCATACCAAATGGCCAGGGCCATGCACAGGTAGATGATCAGCCAGGAGATGGCATTGCCCAGTCCCGAATACAGGCCCTTCTTGCGACCGGTGGTCTCTGCTGGAATAAGTAGCTTTCCGAAACGAACATTCTCCTTCTCCTGACCACTAAAAGCGAACACCGTCCGGATGCCGCTGAAGACCTCCTCGGCCACATTGGCCGCATTGGAGTATGCTTTTAGCTCCTTCTCGGCCAGCGAGCCCTGAAGCCGGGCCACCACACTGGTGGCCACAATGATGAAGGGCACACAGCTGAGCACCACCAGGGTGAGTTTCCAGCCATAGACAAAGGCGGACACGATGCCGATCACAAAGGTCATGATCAGGAAGACCACGATCACCACCTTCTCGCCAATGCCCTCCTTGAGCTTGTCCAGATCTCTGAAGGGGTTAAAAAATGTAATAAAATAAATTATGAATATATTGAAAGGGAAGGAAGTGGTGTGATTTAAGATTGCCTAATGGTTTTTTCACATTGCTGGGATGTATAGAATTCCATACTCCCAAAACTAATTGATTTTCCTGCTCCCTAAAGAGCATACAATTCCTGTAGTACATTTTTATTAATATCTCCCTGAGCGATCACTGAGGAAATTCATGAGGAGGATCAGTGATGAGATATCCCTCGATTTAGCTTAATTATCAAATATAAAAACTTCAATATTTTCTGACTCTGGTTACAATAGAGAATATCTAAAAAATAGCTTTAATATATTAAGCCTCAAGTTTACTTAGTTGCTTGTATACATTTCAAACTCAAGACTCACAACCCACTCAGCAGTCAATCGAAAACCCAAATGCAAATTTCACTCATGAATATGCAACGAGTTCCCCGCCTTATTATTTGATAATTACCCCAGTTCCTCCTATAATAATAACTATGATTAAGGTAATTCTCGAATTACTTCTGTTTGACTATATTAATATAATTAAGATAACTATGTAACTAGTTCTAAAAACTTACTCTGTCATTTTGCTGGCAAAGTTGGATCCCGAACTGGTGTCGTACCAGGCGATGTCCTGACGCAGCATGGCCTCCAGGAAGAGCTTGCGGATGCGGTCGATCTGGTTGAGGGCGATCCTGTTGGCCAGGTCAATGGCCAGCGTGATGAGCAGAAACATGGCCACTGAGCCCACCAGACTGCCAATGCCAAAGGCAATGGAGTCATCGATGATGGCCTGCCTGTTCTCCTCTTTACTGGCATTTGTCCTGTTTAGGGCGGAGCAAATGGGTTTATAAATCCAGATTTTTCTTGAACTTGGACTTGAAACTTACAATTGCTTGCCGCCACCGAACATGGTGAGGGCAAACGAGGGCGAGGATGTGCCCACGCCCACTGTCCGATCCACCAGCAGGGATGTGAACTCTCCATAGATGATCATGAAGTATGGTATAAAAACGGAGGCGCCGGTGGCCACCAGCAGGCTGAATATGAAGACGCAACGCTCGCAGGCGGTTGAGTATCTGAACTGGAGGTTGCCAGGATGACGAGAGCTTATTAGAATCCAGTGGCAGGATCTCCAGGATAGTTGAACTCACCAAATCAAAGTAACTGTATTTTTTGGCTGGCCCAGCGCCTGAATCCTGGGCCTGAAAGTCACCTGCCTGGGGCAGCTGTGAGTCCTCCTTCTTGGCCATTGTGTGAGATACTTGATGACTATAAGGCCTAAGAACAAAGCAGGCAATTAGTAAACAAGTCTAGAATTTGGGCACTATAATTTAGTGGCTGCCAATTAAACAATTAACCGCACAAGACTAGGTTTTATCTGGTAAATCGGCCATTAACGAGGGGCTGCTATCACCAGCACACCTCAAGCGGGTTCATTGGCACCAATCTCTTGACAAAGAGCATTTATTCTGTTTGCCAATATTTTAGTTTATAAATTAAAATTAAAATGTTATTACTTTCTTCACACCAACACAATGTATTATTCTGTTTCCAGAAAAGGGTTTTTTCTCGCTTCAATTAAATGGTAATTAGTGTCTATCTATGCATCTCGGGCAACACGTAATAAATAAACCATTACTAAAGCTAAGAGCCACTAAATATTACACCATTTATCACGCTCCAGTGTGTGCAAAATGCATTTATGGTGGCACTCATTATATAAAACATCTCGGCAGTTAGTTACACACGGCTTGCAAAGGGCCTCTGGCTGGATTAATCAGCCAGCAAAAAACAATTTTCCCAAGTCAATTTAAGGAAATTAGTTCGATTGCGCGAATGAAAAAGCGTCCATAAATTAATAAATTAGAAGCAATTGGAAAGCGAGATATGTATTTTTTTGTATTTATTTATTGCGATTGTCAATTGCCAGGCGACTTGCACTTCCCCGGTACTGGCAGCACTTCAAAGATACGGATACTTTTCAACTTAATCAGTTGCACTTGCTCTGCGCCCACTTACTTAGCACGTGCCGATTTCTGCGGACACCGTTTAAACTCGCGATCGAAGAACTAACTAATGTATGTATATCTTTTGGTATTTGGTCAAAACACTCGAAAGTGCCGAGAGACGTCTGCTGCCGGCGAGTGCGCGATCTGAACTGGACAACCATCGCCTCGACGGCTGCGACAACAGCTCGGTTTCAGATCTTGACACTCGGGTCTCGGCTTTTGGAATTGCAGGCAGATCGACATCGGCTAAGAGTGTATATAGTCCGTGTGTGTGTGGGTGAGTGGATTGAGGCTATAAACACGATCGTATAATTTAATCGGGGCTCCCCCTGGCAACCGCTTGCGTCCGAGGTGAAGACTCATTCCTGGGACTATCCTTTGGGCTGAATTACTGTGACATTAACACTAGTTGACTCAGATTTAGTTTTATTGCAATAAACTTTAATTTACCTTAATTTCTTAACTTTTATCTGTATATTTATTTGTCTTTCTCGAATTTTTAACTAGCTTAAAGAGTATTATTAATAATTCTATTATATTTTCCTAAAGTTTTCCTTAAGTCTTATTGATATTATTGTTTGATTGTTGACTTTTTGAGTTTAATAAATATTATAATAGGGCTCTGTTAATTATATAGTGCTAAAAACATTTAAGATCAGTTTATTATTCATTCTTATTAATTATTATATTGTAGATTATTAAGATATTTAGTAATAATATTAATAAGACTTTATTATAGAGTTTATATTAATGTAGAATTATATTTTAATATAATGCTATAATTTTTAAAGATCAGTTTCTATATTTTTTTGTAAGATATTGTTAAATATTCTTTGAGTTAATAAAGAGTAGTATTATGTAGTTAATATATTCTAATTCTATAGTTGAATTTTAGAATTTTTACAGTTTTTTAGGTTTATTATTTTGTATTAATTTTATATAAAAGTTATTTATTTAATTTATGAACTTTTGGTGCAGGATTAACAACCTTAACAGCAAATAAATTTAAAGAAATTTAACTGTATAAAAGATGTTTTAAAAATTTAATTGTTTCTGATCAAATATTATTTTTTTTTTATTACATTTTTCCTATATAAATAATTGTCTTTTCAATACTTTTAGATAATTTTAATTTTTAAAAATTTTAAGATTTAAGATTGCAGAAAATGTGAAGTGTTATTATTATTATAATATATTTCTGATATAAAAAGTGGTTTTGTTTTCCATATTTTAAATTATTTTTAAATTTATTTTTTTTATTGTATATTTTGACGTTAAATTGTTGTATTTTTAATACCGTAAAACCATTTTTAAACTCATAGTTTTAAGTATTCCGTAAAATATTTATTTTGATGACCAGTGTAGGTGTCTAAAGCTGTTATAGATGCAGATTAGCCCGATTAGATAGCCGTGTCAGATCAATTCGGCGTTACGCTGGCGCTTATCAGACTCTCATAACCAGTATTTGTCTAGACCCAACGCATATCGGCGATACATGTTATTGTTTTGCTGTGTTTTTTTTTCTCGTCGAGCAGAGTTTAACCAATACTTAAGCCTGGCCAAGATGCATGGCGTGTATTACACATGCGCGCATGGTTTTCCCCTTGTTTTTTTTAAGCAGAATTCATAAGATCGGGGGACTAACCGAGAAGAAATCTGTATCTGTATCGCGTGCGACCGAGATGATTCATCCGCTCGCTGGCTCAGGTGTGCGGTGGAATACCTGTGCGAAATAAGCGTGGAGGCATTCCCAGCGCCGCCTTTCCCCACGAGGAACGAGGAACCGCTGCCACTTCCCCAATCCGATCCGGGCGATTTCTAATTATAATCAATCGTCGTCTTGTTTATGCGTATTATTTCACCATTTCTGCCCACCAAATGAATAAGCAAGACTGCAAAATTTTCCAACCTTTTTTTTTTTGCAATCTAATCGGGCTTTCGGGCCATGTAAGCACTCTTATTGGACGCAATCAAGCAAATGAGAGTCCCAATAAAATGAAATATATGTGTACCAAAACAGCAAACATTTCCTCGGCCGCTGTGTGTTTTTTAGATTTATTTCGCCAAGGCAGATAAGTCGAATTGTGGCCAATTTAGACAAGGTACCGCGGATAGATAATTCCGGCAAGGTCTAGGCGACATTATACCATCTGGTTGATGGTTGATGGTGAAATAATCAGCCAGGCTCTCGAAATGAATGAATAAAGGCTCTCCTGGTTACGGACCTGGGTTAAAATTCGTTGGTTATCGCATCCAAAACTAATTTTTTTATTCTAACAACTCGTGCATATTTATAGACGTGGGAAATAATTCGGGCAATATCATATAACAACAATCGAGTTTGAAAGTGAAGTGCTTTTGTTTGCACTCTAAATATTGTTTTGTTAATCAGCTTTTTAACAGGGCTTGACTTTTGGCTTTGTTTCTTTGCAAACCATTAACATTTAATGCGGCCCCAATATTTCATATCAGCATCACACATATATTATTGTCTGCGACTATATATGCAGAGATTGTTCAAAAAGATTCTGGCAGTTCTTTAAAGGTTCTCAACCTGTTAATGCAATATTAAAATAATATAAATAAAAGTATGAAGTATGGATGAAGTTAATTTTATTTGGCTTAAGCTAATTTAAAATAATTAATACAATAAGAGAATATAAATTAAATTTTGGTAAGACTCCTTGTTTTTCTCTTCTGTTTATAGTTTTAAAGCTGTTAACTTTATTAGAGGAAAATATGAGATAAATGAAAAAACATTGAGGAGAGATAAGAAATATATTCAAAATATTGCGACAAATACTAGAAAAAATATAAAAAATATAAGAATAATGCAGCAAAATCAACAAAAACGATTGAAAAAGTATAAAATAATAAAAATAAATTATAAAAAATATATATCTAAAATAGAAGAAGAAATCAATTCCTGAAATATATAAGAGATTTGAAATTGAAAATAAATATTGGACTACATTTAATAAGAAAAAAACAATGCTTTTCCTTTCGAAGATACGAAAAATTATAATTTAAGGACACTATAAATATTATAGATTAGTATGTGTTTTTTTTTATTTATTTTTTATTTATTTTTTTTTTATTCTATAAAAAAAAACTTATAAAAAATCATAATCTCATAAAAAAATGCAGAATTTTAATATTAAATAAATAATAAGTAAGCAATTAAATACAAGTTTAGTATTATTTAAATTCAAATTTCAATGTGTTTTAAAGTAATAGGACAGTATTTAAAATATAATGAATAAAATGTTAAATAATTCCCCTGTAAACCTTATTAAATATCCAAATAAACTATAACCTAATTAGTTTACCTTTAAATTAAATAAATATATATAGAATATAAAATTGATTTCTAAGAAAAGCGGAAATAGACCCCTTTATCCAACTAAATACTTTTTCAAAAATTAGTTATACTGGAAAAAAATAAGCATTGTACTTATTTATTAAAAAAGTCTCTAAAATTTAGTTTATTCAGGGCATAAAAGTTAAAATTTTAAAGAATTCCCCTGTAAACCATATTTAATATTCCAACTATACTATAATGTAATAAGTTTACCTTTAAGTAAAAACAAAAAAACTTATAATAATTAAAAACTGACTTCATAGAAAGGCTGAAATAGAGACCTTTATCCAAGTAAATATTCTTAAAAAATATAAAATGGTTAAAAATAAGCATTGAATTTATTTATAAAAACTTATAAGATTCAGTTTAGGTGGAATACCTATTTTGTGAGTGCATTTAAAGAAAACAAATGGTGACGCAGTCGCTGATATTTACTCTTACCCACTCGTTCTACTTTTCCCTCGCTCTTTAAGCCCGTATTGACGTCGACACAGAAAAACCAGAATCTTTGTGAATAAATCTCTGAGCAGCGTCGACCAATAACGGGCAGTTGTGGGATATGCCGGTTTGCGTCTATTTGGAAACTGAGTCTGGGTTCAAGGAATTCCCAACATACGACAGACTTCTGGCTGGGAATACTACGAATAGCGTCTTTAATTCCGGACATTGAGCCACCGCAGTTTATAACCAAAGTACGTGATACCATTTTTATATTGACCTTAAACCTTTGCGGCCACAAATCAGTTGGTCAACAACGTCTGTTAATTGTAATTTCTCGGCCAAAGCGGAAGAAAACAGTGTGGTTTATGGGTTTTGCATCTATGAAGTCCGGTAGTTTTCGCGTTTATGACTAGGTTTATGCGGTAACAATATATTTTATATATTTTTAAATAGCTTTAAAGAACAGTAGAATCTCTGAAGACTTTTAGAAACAGAAAAGGGCGCGTTCTTTAAAAAGTTTCAACTACGATAATAAGGCTTTTATAGATAACCTATCTAAATTAAGGTTGACATTGCTAGTACAAATATATTTTGTAATACAAAACAGTATGTTATGAGCTTAATTGATGTTTGGTAGTTATTAAGCCCATTGTGCTAATATTTATCTAATGTTACACACTTTGAGGTGGCAAAACGTACAATGGAAAAAGTGCAAATCATCTACTTTATCTAAGATTATCCCAAAGGTGATTGTCATCAAACCAAACAAAAACAAATGATAAAATCTGAACGAAAGTCATTAATAATTAACCCAATTTAAGCAGCTGCGATAAACGTTAAATAAATGAACAGAATCTGAGATAATAACAAAACATTCATAAATAATCAAATGTAAATTGAAAGGCAATTGTTCAGAAATTATTTGTAGTCTTAAAAGGTCGTAAAATTTGTATTTTCTCTATTTAATTTTAAAAATCTGGATGAAATGCACAGAATTTAATTAGAAAGCTAGGAAATACCTTAAATAATAAGAACTTATTATTTATAATCGAAAATGCCATTTAGCTTAACAAATGTTTAATGTTAAGTTTAAAAGTACAAAATATATATAACAATTTTGTTAAATTCGTTGATCATTTTAATAAAATTAAGAAAAAGCAATATTATTGATTTAGGTTTCAATGGCAATCAAAATATATACGATTTTTAGTATAGCTTACATATACCACCGAGAGTACTTAAGTGAGGGTAAGGTCAATTCGGTGCAAAACTGCCCTCTTTCCAAAAAAATGGTGTGGCGAAACGGTTAACACAATATTTGAACGATTTCTTTTTGATTTTTGTATACAAAAAAATGAGTCCCCTCAAAAAATGTTGGCTTTTTGGAGTACATCCTAACTAACTATCCACAAAAACATTCAATTTTAAAAAACTATAATTCATTACTTAAAGGATAAGTGTCCCTCCCACTCACGTGGCGTTTTCATTATTATTGCCGATTTTTTTTTATTAAAAGCGGAAGTCAAAACCCCAAGTTTTGACGAAATTAAGTTTATTTGTTCAATAAAAAATATAATAAAATTTAAAATTAAAAAAAGCTCGACGTGAGTACCTGTAGAATTAGTTAAAGAAGTTACATATGTTCCAAATTTCCAGTAGATTTTAAGTTATGTGTACAAAATGACATTTTTCAGGAGAGCGCTTTAAGCTTTGTGATTCTCATACATTAAGCACCAAACTTGGAACACAAGATTCTCAAGATTTTGAGCCTTTAAAATACAAATTAAAAAAAATAAAATAAAAAAAATTAAATACCTTACCACCCTTATAATAAGTGCATTATAGAGACTGTAAATCGATGTTTTTATATATATGTATGTATAAATCAAAATTGTATAAGTATCGCAACTAAGAAACATTAATATTGATTCGGATGCTTGTTTCTATTGGATTTACAAGTCAGTAAATTAAGCTTAATATTCAATATAGAAAAACATTTAGAGTTGTTTGACTTTGTGTCCTTTTTTCTTTATTAGTTGAAATAAATATAATAAGTGCATAAATAACAGGTTCTAAACTAAATATAAGGTTTTCAAATGTTGGGTAGATTAATTTTTAGGTTTTACAGATGTAACTTCGCTTGGATATATAAAATATGCTGATCATAATGTGGTAGGCTAGATACACATAAGGCCCACTGTACATTGTATTAGCATAGAATCAGGATAAAGCCCATTGTATTGAAGAGGCATACAAGATAAAAGCCCCGTTAGAATTAAGTATAACACTGTCATCTCTGTCTAGCTCATACATTAGCATTAAGAGATAAAAATGTACGTATACCTATCTCGCTCACGCATCGAAAGGTATAAGTAAAGGAAAAGAAACGACGCCGCGACATTCGGTGGCTTGTGTTCGAGAAGAAAAGTTTAAATAAAGCATCGGATTTATATTCTTGCGTTTACAACTATAACGTTTACAACATCAGAAGTGGTCATTACTCACTATGCCTGACGTGGATTTGAAGCAATTCTCGGTGCTCCAACTGAAGAACTGGTTGGGAGCTCTCGGACGCCCAACTTCCGGCACTAAAGCGGAGTTAATAGCGCGTCTGCAAGCAATCTCTCCAGAGACACGTGGCGATCCGCCAACCAAGACATCGAGCAGCCAGGGCGACCAACCACCAAACGGCCGATCGGCGGCAGAACCAGCAGACGAGACGGATGGAGCTGCATCTTTGCTGGAACTGCAGGAGCCACAGGGTGCAGGCTTGCAAGAGGTCTCAGGCGACGCGCACTCAATGGCGTCGCATACCTTGGACAACGTCGAGTTTGAGCAGCTATCACTCGTGGATGCCGAAAAAGCCACCCTACAGAAGATTCGTGATGAAATCGACGCAAGCATGGCCGTTTTGCAGAGGATTCACATAGAGATCGACGACGCAAACAAGAACAAATCAGTTCATGTTCAAGAAATCCATGACGTCATCGCAAATACCATGGAAGTTTCTAGAAGTGCTAACATTGGCGCCAACAGCGACGCTGTTAAGTTTAACAGCACCAAAGTGACCATCACCGCCGATAACATTGGTCCGGACAATACCAGTGTTGGAAAACAGATCGATGGAAGTGTTGATCAACGCATGAACACAAATGTAAACAAACTACTGGAATCTCCGGCAGCATCGCTTGCTTTGGCAAAAGAAGTTACAATGGAATACAACGGCAGCGTGTGTGCACGCAATTGGGTCACACAGCTTCAGAACATTGGCAAGGTGTATAATTTAGACGATGGCTGCATGCATATGCTTCTGATTGCCAAACTGAAGGGAAACGCACAACGCTGGCTGCACGCAAACGCCACGCGCATTCTGGAGCCGGCCGATCAACTTTGCGAACAACTTATTACGACGTTCGGCGTTAAAATGTCCAAAGGAGAGCTGAGAAGCGCATTCCAAAGACGTCAATGGCTTCCAGAAGAGAAGTTCGCCGCTTATTTCGAGGACAAGGTCATGCTAGCTAACGACATCAACATCGATTTGGAGGAGCTTCTGGAGAACATCATAGAAGGGATTCCAGCACCGGCGCTGCGCAACCAGGCGCGCATACAGTGCTTTTCCGAGCCGATGCAGATTCTGCGAGCCTTCGCGGAAGTCCGCTTACCAGAGCGCAAAACAGGAGGCAATTCGACAAAGCAGCTATCTGGAAAAGTTGCACTCAACAAGGATTTGCGTTGCGCCAACTGCAACTCTAAAGGGCACTTCGCCAAGGAGTGCCTCAAACCAAAGAGGGAGCCCGGTTCCTGCTACGCCTGCGGCACGTTTGGACACTTCGTCGGGCAGTGCCCGGAGCGCAAGAGTGCGAACACAAACAATTATGTAAGACAGATTAAGATTTTTTTTCACAATAGTTTTAAAACCCCATTAATTACAGAATGCCTCATAGACACAGGGAGTCCAATCTCATTTTCGAAAGTAAGCAGTATACCCAAAGAAGTTAATTTAGAAACCGTTTCGGAGAACTATTTCGGGCTGAATAAAAGCCAACTGAAGATATTTGGAAAAATTTTGTGTTACGTATTAAAAGAAAGAATAAAATGTTTTTTTTATATGTACGTGGTCCCAAACGAGTCTATGAGTCATAATGTAGTTCTTGGAAGAAATTTTATGGAAGCTTGCCAGCTGAAATTGGATCCAGACATTTTGGGAAAGGTTACAATTGACCCTTTAGATATTAAAAGAGATAGAAAAACAAATAATGATAGATTTAGTCATACAGTTAGTGATACAGTTAGTGATACAGTTAGTGAAACAGTTAGTGATACAGTTAGTGAAACAGTTAGTGAAACAGTTAGTGAAACAGTTAGTGATACAGTTAGAGAAACAGTTAGTGAAACAGTTAGTGAGACAGTTAGTGAAACAGTTAGTGAGACAGTTAGTGAAGCAGTTAGTGAGACAGCTAGCGAAACAAGTAGTGAAGCGATTAGTAAAATAGTTAGTCCTGAAATTAGTGATATAGTTAATACTACAGTTAGTAAAACGGTTATCGATACAGTTATGCCTTTGAATACGGTTATGCCCAGTTATGAGGAAACTGTTAAAGAAATCTTTAGTATTGACTATACGGAGGATGAGAAAATGAGTTATATATGCGGCACAAATATCGACCAAGGCTTAAACTGCCGATTAGAAGAGATTATTAAATGCAATTACTTTAGCGTAGAAAAGCCTGCAGAACCTTTCGTCAAATGTGAAATAAAACTGAATTTGGAAACTTCAAAACCATTTAGCTGCGCCCCAAGGCGACTAGCTTATTCAGAGAAAGAGAAATTGCAAAAATTACTAGATGAATATTTAAAAGATGGAATTATACAACCCAGCGAATCCGAATATGCTTCACCCATAGTGTTAGTCAAAAAGAAGACAGGAGACATAAGATTATGTATAGACTTTAGAAAACTGAACAAGGTTTTAATTAAAGACAATTATCCGATACCGCTTATCGATGACCTCTTAGACAAACTGGTTAACAAGAAAGTTTTTTCGAAACTTGATTTAAAAAATGGTTATTTTCATGTGTTTGTCAATAAGGAATCGGTTAAATACACCTCGTTTGTTACGCCTTTAGGACAATTCGAATTTCTTAGGATGCCAATGGGCCTGAAAACTGCATCGGCAGTGTTTCAAAGATTTGTTAACAGAATCTTCGAGGATCTTATTAGAGAGAACAAAGTGATCGTATACATGGACGACATCATGATCGCCAGTAAGGATACTGAGGAACATTTTCAGATCTTAAAGGAAGTGTTTCTCAGGTTAGCTCAAAACAAATTAGAATTAAGAATGGATAAATGTGAGTTTCTTCAAACTAATATTAAATATTTAGGATTCATTATAAATGGCGAAGGCATTAGGGCTGACGACAAAGGGATAGAAGCCATACAAAATTTTCCAGTTCCAGACAAGACTCAATCCGTGCAAAGTTTTCTAGGCTTATGTTCATACTTCCGTAGATTTATAAAAGATTTTTCAACATTAGCGAAACCATTATACGATCTTTTGAGAAAAGATGAAAAATTTAAGTTTGGAGAGAAGGAAATGAACTGTTTTTCAACGCTTAAGGAGAAGCTAGTGCAGGCACCAGTTTTAGCTATTTACAATTACAAAGACGAGGTAGAGCTGCACTGTGATGCAAGCGCTCTTGGTTTTGGTGCTGTGCTATGTCAAAAGAAAGAAGACGGGAAATTACACCCCATATTTTATTTTTCGAAGCGCACAACCGTCGCTGAGGCAAAATATCACAGTTTCGAACTGGAGACAATGGCTATTATTCACGCACTTCGAAGATTTAGAATATATTTATATGGAAAACGCTTTAAAATTATTACCGACTGTAATTCGCTTACTTTAACCCTTAATAAGATTGAACTTAATCCGCGAATAGCTAGATGGGCGTTAGAGCTCCAAAACTACGACTATGAGCTCATACATAGAGAAGGAAAAAGAATGCAGCATGTTGATGCTCTTAGTAGATGCACAAATATTCTGATTGTAGAGTCGAATACGTTCGAAGATAATTTAGTAATCTGCCAGGCCAAAGATCCAAAAGTTCAGGAGATTAAAAAACGGTTAGAAAAAGACGAACATAAGTTATTTGAAATGAGAAACGGAATTATTTATAGAAAATGCAACGATGGTAGACTATTATTTTATGTTCCTACGGATATGGAAGAGCATGTTCTATATAAATATCACAATGAGGTCGGACATGTAGGTAGAGACAAAATGTTGGATAGTATTTTGAAATCTTATTGGTTTCCCAGTGCCAAAGAAAAATGTTTAAGTCATATAGAAAATTGTTTAAAATGTGTCGCGTTCTCCCCTAAAATAGGCAAGGAAGGATTTCTGCATTGCATTCCGAAAGGTAGCAAACCATTCGAACTAATACACGTCGATCATTATGGTCCAGTCGACTCAGGTAGATCAAAAAAACACATTTTTGTCGTGATCGACGGTTTTACGAAGTTTGTACGCTTATATGCCACAAAGACTACGAATACAAGGGAAGTCGTTACCGCCCTTAAGGACTATTTTAGAGCATATAGCAAGCCTAAATGCATCATATCAGACAGAGGAAGTTGTTTTACATCCAAAGAGTTCGATGATTTTGTGTCAGAGTTTGATATAAAGCATATGAAGATTGCAACTGGATCACCTCAGGCTAACGGGCAGGTTGAAAGAGTCAATAGAAGTTTAGGTCCAATGATAGCGAAGCTAATAGAACCAGAGAAGGGTATATATTGGGACACAGTAATAGATAAAGTTGAACACGTGTTAAATAATACGCAACACCGTAGTATCAAGCAAACCCCAAGCAAAGTGCTTTTTGGCTTAGAACAGAGAGGAAAAACTGTGGATGAGTTAAAAGAAAAACTAGAAGAAATAGATAATACTCCAGAAGAAAGGGACTTGAAGAAAATTAGAACCGAAGCAGAAAAGAATCAAGGAAAAACTCAAGCGTATAACAAAAAGCATTATGATAAGACCGCAAGAAAGCCATCTGAATACAAAAAAGGAGATTATGTGATGGTGAAAAATTTCGACTGCACAGCAGGTGTTTCTAGAAAGTTAATTCCAAAAAATAAGGGCCCATATGTAATTTCAAAAGTATTAAGAAACGACAGGTTTTTGTTGAAGGACGTAGAAGGTTTCCAGGTATCTCGTAACCCTTACCAAGGTGTCTGGAGCATTCAAAATATTAAGCATTGGATAGGTAAAAAGAAAAAGCACGATTAAGCAATAATAATTATGATGAACTGCAATAATATGTAAATATGTATAAATATAAGAAAAATTTTAATTCATTGTAAATATATGTACAAATAAGTAATATAAACCATGATCAGGGGATCAGCTAGTCAGGACGGCCGAGTTGTGGTAGGCTAGATACACATAAGGCCCACTGTACATTGTATTAGCATAGAATCAGGATAAAGCCCATTGTATTGAAGAGGCATACAAGATAAAAGCCCCGTTAGAATTAAGTATAACACTGTCATCTCTGTCTAGCTCATACATTAGCATTAAGAGATAAAAATGTACGTATACCTATCTCGCTCACGCATCGAAAGGTATAAGTAAAGGAAAAGAAACGACGCCGCGACATTCGGTGGCTTGTGTTCGAGAAGAAAAGTTTAAATAAAGCATCGGATTTATATTCTTGCGTTTACAACTATAACGTTTACAATAAGTAGATGAATATATAGTTTTTATATACACACATATATAATTGATATGTATTTGGTGTTTTCTGATATAATACCTTAACAGGAGCATGATTTTATCATGTCAAAGAAACTTACATCTTGTAATATGCTTATGTCTTTGGCGTTTAAAGAAGACTAAAATAAATACTGTCTTCGAAGTTTTCATTTAAGTAGGAATCGGACTAGATTGGTGACAATTAAAATACATATCCTTGGGTTTCAAAACCTAGCTGCTCTCGGAAGTATCGGATCGGATCAAAGAGGATTATGGTTTAAAAGTCATTTTGGATTTAGGTGGTGCCCAAAAGTATGCAACCAAATGGTAACAAATAAGAAACAATCAAAGAACGCATTTTCCAATGATGTGAAATCCTCAGCTATCCTTAGCACTTATCACTTCTCCTCCAGTTTCCGTTTAGTAGACCAAGCGAATGGCCTGCTGTCCGTGGAAAATGTCACTCCTCACCAGCACCTCGTAGCTGCTCAGCCGGATCTCTTGTCCGCCGAACGGGATTTGCAGGCAGCGATTGGACTGCTCAATAACACCCGGGGTCAGGGATCCGCAGTAGTGACCCCTGCCAATGTACAGTGGCTCCCCGCCAGGCGTACGTCCCGCGATGACGGCTCCTGGAGCCACATTTCCTCCATAGGCAGGCACCCAGTGGTACTTGCCCTGGCCCACCAGCATCTGATAGGAAGGCTCCACGATCTCCCGGCCGCCGTGGGCTATGTAGGCACATCCCTGGCTGGGAATGGCCTTGCCCGGGACGTGGACACCGCGGTAGTAGGCTCGGCACACCAGCAACTGGGACATGTTGCTGTCGTGGCCTCCAACGACGGCATCCGAACTGTAGTAGTATCCCGGCTCGGCGGACACCCACACATCGTAGTTGTTGCCGTAGCCGTAGGCATCGTAAGTCGACGGAGCAGCGTACTCAGCCGGCGTGTAGGAGGAGCAACTGGCTCCGTAGGGATCGTAAGTAGAGGCGGGCGTGAAGGACGAACCCACGGCTGGCACTGATATGGCGGTTACGGACACCTCGGCGGGAGTGTACGATGGCGGTGGTGGGGCCGAGCTCACCTCTGCTGGGGTGAAAGTTGGCTTGGGCGGCGGAGGTGGTGGCATCACCAGGACACCGCCAACTGGCGGAGGTGGTGGTGGAGGACGTGGCATCACCATCACTCCTCCCACCGGAGGCAATGGATCCGGTGTGGGCGTGTACGCTGGCGGCCTGTCAGTCATGGGGAAGGGCATCGCCGCCATGTCCGGATAGGGATACGGTTTGGCAGCCAGCACAGGAGCTGGCGGCGATGGTGGTGGCGGCGGGGTCAGCGGACACTTCTCCGCCTCCTCCAGCGGCGGAGGAGGCGGCGGCAGCTGCCAGCCCGGCACCACGCGGCGTTCCTCTACCAGAATCTCATAGGAATCCAGGCGACGCTCGGCACCGCGATAGGCGATGAACAGTGCCCGGTGGACCGAGGAGATCTTGCCAATGATCAGGTGGCCCTCATAGTGACCCCGACCAATGTACACCGGCTGGTCCAGGGAGGTGCGTCCGCAGAGCACTGCATTCTCGGGTATCACATGGTCGTAGCACTTGATCCACACCAGATTTTGGCCACAAAGCACCTCAAAAATGTCCTTGGGCAGGGCCTCGCCGCGCTGCGAAATGAAGCCAAGCTGCTTCGAGGGCACTACCTTGCACACTAGCATATCGCCCTCGTGCTCTGCTCTGCCCACGTAGATCATGGCGCCATCTTCATCGTTACCCCCGACCACAGCTTCCTCGGGAATGGAGGAGTAGGCCGAGGATTGCACCCACTTGTAGGCTGTAAAGGGGGAACAAGAGGTTAGTTTGGGGTTTTTAATTATAGAATAAAAAAAAATAATAAAATTTTTTTTGGGGTTTTAGAACGGAAAGAGAAAGTTTTTGGTTTAAAAAAAAAAAATACAAGTAAGGAGTTTAAAAATTAAATAATGGAGGTTTCTGTTTAGAAAAGAAGAGGGTTTTGTATAGGTTAAATAATATAGGTATGGGTTTGTGGTTTATTAAACAAACTATGTTAAGTCTTTAAGAAGTTTTTATGGGTACATTCGGGGTTGTAGGGGTTGCAGGCTGTTGAAGTATATTTAGGGGTGTTTTTATGTAAGGTTTTTGTTACATCTAAAGTGTCAGCTTATTTCATATGTTTAACAAATATTTGTTGTTTAGTTTTAAACACATTTCATACGACTTCAAGCTGTTTATTCTTAAGAAATCCTTATCTTGCCCCATAAATTTGATGGTCTTTGTTGACATAAGAACACGTTTTATATTTAATACCAACTCAAGTTTGATTAGAACTCCAAAAAAACGAGTACGAGTACAAGTATTAGATAAAAGTGTCATTCTTAAGCAGTTCCTTAATAAATAAACTCATAACTCATTATATAATATTTAAATTCCCTTCAAAAACTCTAAGAAATAGAAAAATGAAATAATTTTCTCAGTGGTTAACAATCAGTTTTATTTTCAGTGCGATTACAGGTTTGATCTGGGCTAAATGCATATGCTTCCAACGAAGCTCCAACTTCCACTACCTACTGCCGGCAAAGCACCTCGTAGGAGGAGAGACGGATCTCCCGGCCGCCGTAGGGAATGTACAGGCAACGCTGGCTGGCCGAGATCAGGCCCGGAGTGAGGCTGCCCTGGTAATGTCCGCGGCCATAGTAGATGGGCTCCCCGTTACGGGCGCGTCCCGTGGATACGGCATTGGGCGGCAGATGGTGGCCAGCATGGGCCCACACATAGCCGTAGCCGGTGAGTACCTCGTAGCTGGGCTTCTGGAACTCATAGCCCCCGAAGCAGACGTAGGCACAGCCCTTGCTGGGAATCACCTTGGCGGGCAGCATCTCGCCCTCGTGCATCGCCCGTCCGGCGTAGATGGGAGTCCGGTCGGAGTCGTGGCCGGCCACCACGGCACCTGGCGGCGTGTAGCTGGGCGAGGCAGCCACCCAGACGTCTTGCTGCTGATGGATGAGCACCTCGTAGGTGTTGATCCTGACCTCCTGGCCGCCGAACGGGATGTACAGACAGCCGTGCGAGGGATGCACCTTGCCCACCGTCAGGCTGCCGGCATGATGGCCGCGTCCCACGTAGAGAGGCTCGCCGGTGCGAGTGTTGCCACTACGCACGGCATTCGGAGGCACTCCGCCACTGGCACTGGGCACCCAGGCAAAGCCCTGGCCCACCAGCACCTCGTAGTGGGTCTTCTGGTGTTCTGTGCCGCCGTAGGCCACGTAGGCGCAGCCCTTGCTGGGAATCACCTTGGCCGGAAGGTTCTCGCCCTCGTGGAAGGATCGGCCCACATAGATGGGCGAGCGGTCCGCGTCATGGCCACCGATCACCGCGTACGGAGGCAGGGGCGAGCGAGGAGACGAGTGCACCCAGGTGTGTTCTGCAAGGAGAGAGGACCAGAGGCGGTGAGGCGATAAGCTAGGCAATGGCACGCGATAAGATAGCCTGACTCTACTACACAGAGCGAAAAAGCCAGCAGTGTCAATGAGAAAAAAACTAAATATTGACTCGCAGCAAATTCAAGTTCAAGATCTTAATAATCATAACATATGGATACTGATGCTCTGACGTTTTTTCTCTGTTTCGATATATGCTATATATTGCTTGCTGTTCGATTCGTGGGGGTTTTCGGGGTCTGGGGCTGGGTTCTGGGTTCAAGTGGGATTTTTGGGATTTCAGAGGCGTAGGGCTGTCACCCTGGGCTCACTGCACTCGTCCTACCAACGGTCACAACTGCTCCTGGCTGCACATTGCCTGGAAGAGTGCAAAGAAAGGCGGAGAAACGTAAAAGTCACTCAAGGCTCTTTGCATAAAAGATACCAAATTCGAGGTAAATTCCCAAAGAATTTGATATCTTTTCACCCGTATATGGGGGCTACATATCCTTAAGATATTATGAAAATATCACAGAATAGTATTCTTAACATAGAACTCTGGGATATATGCATATATATTATTTATCCCACAACCTCTAGATATTTAAAGATATATTAAAGTGTCTAAAAGTAAGTTGTAAAGTGTGTTTACAACTCTTATCTCAAAAGTTATAAGCAAAACGTGCTTGCAGAGTTGTAAATAAATTATTTTAGACACCAAAAATATTATTGGAAAACTTTACAAGCTTCTTATTTTCATTATCGAAGATCTCTTTTGCATCACACGATATCATTTTTTGCAACAATCGATTGCTAACTTGCAGCGATTACTCATTCCGCTTACCCATTGTGTGTAATTTGTTGATAAGGGGTTATTCCTTCTGATAAATAATAAAATGTCTTTCCAATGCGTAGATATTCCTCTAATTTTTCGATGAAGCGACTGCACAGATTGAGGTTCGCAATTTCACTGAAGAGTTGCTGAACAAGAGCCGGGCGTTAAAACCCTGGCCACAATTATTTGTCACCCTTCCAAACCTTATCGGCGAGCTTTTATCTATCAATACCGCCCATATTCCATATGTATATATTTTTGTTTGTATGGAAAAACGAGTGCAGTTGATATTGAGCAATATATCTCTGTTCCAGAGAAAGCTCCAGTCGTTCCATTAAAGCCATCCTCTTATCAGCTGGGCAATGAGTCACTATCTCGATCCAGGCGGTACTTTTTGGGATAACAAAAGCTCAGAACAGGTGGGCATTGTTACAGGTGATATTGCTTTGTTTTTTTCGGCAATCGACAGGTGGAACCCCATTTAAATGAACCCATAAACCTTATGACGTGTACCAGAAGCCGGTAACTAAAATCCCCTGTTTAAGTGCCGATAAGATGGGGCTAACTTTAGCACAAACTATTAGAGAGAGGATGAAGGAATTTTGGGAAAAGATCGATAATATATAGGGATACTTCAAAATATCAATTGAATTTAGAAAAACATAATAACAAATGTGAAGAATCATAAGAAAGTATTGCAAGTTCATGGTATAGAAATAAAGAAACCCAAAGAAAATCCAAAGCTTTTAAAGGTTATAAAAAATATTATTTACCTCATTTGAAGAGAGTTTAGTATTTGCAAGAAGAATTTAACCAGATGAAAGAACCTTTTCGTAAGCTTAAAGAAATATTAATACTTTCCCGAAGAAAACCAACAGCAGGAAAAACATTTAATCTTTTTATGGAACCACTGCACATCTCGGGGGACTTTCACTTTTCCAAGAAATCCACAAATACATAAGGGATCTAGACTTTTCTTATACTGAAGTGTGACTCAACTTGTTGTCCTACTTGTTATTGATTGTACTATCGAGCATTAAAGTTATAGTTGTTCCCTCATTGACTCATTTCCAAACTCCACACCCACAAGCATGACTGTTCAAAACAGGCCTTCGAAACCCCTAAATCTTAATCATTACATTACCTGTCCGCATGCTTGGTCTTACTTTTTGTTTTGTTCTAGAAATAATAAATAAATTCCTCAACTTGGAAGTTGATCCATGGACAGCAACACCGTGTACATACAATGTACATAGGTACCTTTTACGAACTTATTGATCAAGTTTATTTTTGACTGCCGACCGATAAGATTCGCCGGCAACTGCTGATAGATAAAACCGAGCGCAGGGTGTACCAAAAGTACCTCTCTGCACAAGATCGATTGACTAATGATCGCTAGCTCCCTTCCTGTTTGATATTTTGTTATGAAATTTAAATTGTTTCCACCCAAAAGTGACACCTGTCAGTGTCTAAAGTGGCGACCGTAACGCAGCCTGCAGACTGGGAAAGTAAAGAGGAGCCCTGCTAAAATATATATACATTTATTATATGTATTGCATGGTGTACGTAGTACTTACAGTCCCAGCAACTGTGACTAAGATATGTTATCAAAGTCGGTTAACACAGCCGACCGATAAGGCCACGGCGCAGCTTTTAAAGCCCAACGGCTGTGAGGCTAGGAGCCAGTCGTTAACTTCAGTCCGAACAGAACGAACCCAGCCGGCGTATATTTATACTCTACGTTCCAGACCCAAGTCAGCAAACACACAACATGGGAGGTGAGAAAAGTGACGATCGGGGTGTGACCCCCCACAATTCCTGCGAAAAAAAGCGACCATGACAACTAGTATCGATAGTACCACCTGACAGCCGTAATCCCTTGGAGCTTTGGAAGCTTTCCACAGATCTGGCGATTTCACACCGGGAATAGATAATAAAACAGACTGAGTGATTAATGGGTACAGTTGGGTAGTGTTGGATAAAGAGTGCTTGCCTCTCAGTGTACTTACTTTGGTGAGATCTTTACTCACTTAAAAATTAACAAGTGAATAACTAAATGAATAAATGAACACTTAAATGAACACCTACTAAGCAAAGTGAACTAAAAATAACGATGTCAGGTAACCTTTTAATTTTTCTTTCCGAAGTGAACATGTACAATTTATAAATAGAAGTGAACCACTGAAGAACATCTTTACTATTTCCACTGAAATGAACATATTCATTTTATCTTCAAAACGTTATCTTGTTCATTTTGTTCACTAAAATAATTCATAGAATTAAATTAAATTAAACAACCATTTTATCCAGAGCAATTGTTACTGACCTCCTGTAAACCTTTCTCCACAGACTACCAATGGATCAGCAGCAATGTCTACGGAGGCCTGCCAGGTGGCGCCGTCCTCGGCGGCCATGACTCCGATCAGGATCCCATTTTCGTTGGCCGTGCCTACCACAACGGCGAGATGCTGCCAGCCAAGGTGGTGCCCAACAAACAGCAAGCCTACGTGGCCTGGGGCGGAGAGGAGATCAGCAAGCACGACTATGAGGTGCTCGTCGGCGATCACTTCTCGTGGATCCCGGCCAGTGGTGGCTTCGTTCCGCCCCACTCCCTTCGCGTTGGCCAGACCTCCGACGGCGAGGCCCTGTATGTGGGACGTGGCTACTTCCAGGGCAGCCTGACGCCTGGCAAGGTGCATCCCTCGCACCAGTGCCTGTACATCCCCTACGGAGGACGGGAGGTGAGAATTGAAGCCAATTAAGGGGATACCTCATGGGAGGCACCTTTGAGATCTGGAACTTATGGTTTTCTTTTAAATTCTAGCATCGTCTGGATGCCTATGAAGTGCTTGTCCAGCCTGAGACCTGGATTTCCGCTTCTGGACGCGGTATTATCCCCGGAACCGTGGTGGGCGGCCATGATTGCGATGGCGATCAGATCTACATTGGTCGCGCCTACCACGAGGGCGACCTGATCCCGGCCAAGGTTATTCCCAATAAGGGCTGCGCCTATGTGCCCTACGGAGGCGGCGAGGTGGTCAAGCACGACTACGAGCTGCTGGCCGGCTACGGTTATGGTTGGGTGCACGACAGCCACGGCAATGTTCCCGGCAATGCCGTACTCTGCGGCCGCACGTCCGACGGAGAGCCGCTCTACATCGGCAGGGCCCACCACCACGGTAGCTTGACTCCCGGAAAGATCCATCAGTCGCATCACTGCCTCTACATCCCCTTCGGCGGCGAGGAGGTGCGTCTAGACCACTACGAGGTCCTGGTCAAGGCCTAATCTGTTTCCGTTCGACTTCTGCCCTCTAATTTATAACTCATCAGTCTCAAATAAACTACTTTGTTTTTCCATTCGATATGATTTTAATTTGGTTTAATGGGATAATGGAAGATTAAAGGTTAAATAGAAACCGAGTAATACTAAGGAAAAACATTTCTTAATGTTTCTATTTTATTTTCACCAACAAGCAAAGAAACGTGGAGTTAAGCAACTTAATAATAAAGAAATTTATTAATGAACTTGTTCTTGGAAGGCTGTCAAACGGGCAGACAGGCGTTTCTTGATAGATAATGATCAAGGATATAAGAAGAATCGTAAAATGTTAAGATACGAAGTGTAACATTTACTTAACCGACTTGAATAATTCGTTCTGAAGAATGTATTGTTAAAAGTTTTAACTTAAAACAATTACTTAAACTTAAAACAATCAGTGTAATATTTGATATGAGGCAATTATATACTCTTTCTTAAGAATAAAGCATTTTTTAAATAAAAAGTTCAGGAACGTTTGGTTTTTTTTTTTATTTTAACAAGTAATTTTTAAGAAAAAGTGTTAATATTTTAAAATATTTAAGTATATTACGTATGTATGTATGTAAAGAGTTTATAATTCAATATAAGAAACAACAATTTGTTTGTTCAAAACAGTCCTTTCCACTTAAGAGCTAGTGAACAAGGCCAAACGATTGTTAAAAACTTAAATGCAATGATTTGTCACCTATACACTTTATCGACAATATATTTTATAAGTCATTATGTACATATACAGTGGATTATAATGAAAGTCGTTAAGGAAATGAGATTTCTTTTAAACACTAAAATTTATTGGTGTGTAAATTAAAAAATAATAGTAGTTTTTGTTTGCTAACAGCACGAGATGAGCTTCGATGTCAGATTTGCCTTATTTATTTGTTGTTTTAATGGATTTTTCATTTTATAATAAATTTTTAGGAGAATAGCTTTTATTCAAGAAATGCTGAGCTTAAAATTTTAAGATAAGAAAATGTTACTAATTGCTGAACGAAATTTGCTTCTAGACACTGTACTTATTAAGTACCTCTCTGTCGAACGTATTGATCAAGTTGATTTCCGGCCGATAAGATTGGCCGGCAACTGCAAAAAGATATAACCGGACGAAAGATTGCATATAAAAAGGTAAAATGTGCAATCGGTTTTTATTCAACTCTAAGACTTCAGCGGCAGTTAATCAATCAATCAAAAGTTATTTTTTTACGTATATCCTGCAACTTTCTTATAAGTATACAAAATGAGTTACTCTTTAATATTTACCCTGTTGGTCATGTCAGCATTGGCCCATTCTGCTTTCCTTGACCAACTTCTCGATAAAGAATGGCAAGCCTTTACCAAGGAACATCGGAAGAACTATCAGGATAAAGACGTAGAGCAACTTCGTTACATGATCTTCAACGAGAATAGGATCAAGATTGCCGAGCACAATCGGCGATTCGCTAATGGAGAGGTGAGCTTCAAGATGGCGATCAACGAGTATTCCGACTTGATGAGTCAGGAGTTCAGCGATCTGATGACCGGCCTCAGCTTCAGCGAGTACGAGGAGATGAGGTGAGAAACCTGTGAAATATGAGTGTTAAACTTACTTCTTATATTCTGAATTTCCTAATTCTAGCACATTTGATGAGGGACTGACCTTCATTTCGCCGGAGCATGTCACCCTGCCCGATTCAGTGGATTGGCGTTCCGAGGGAGCAGTGACCGGAGTCAAGAATCAAAAGAGTTGCGGCAGCTGTTGGGCCTTCTCCACCACAGGATCTCTAGAGGGTCAGCATTTCCGCAAGACCGGAAACCTGGTCTCTCTCTCGGAGCAGAATCTTGTAGACTGCTCGGGGGGGTCCTATGGAAATCATGGTTGCAGCGGTGGTACTATGACCCGGGCCTTCAAGTACATCAAGGACAATGGCGGCATCGACACCGAGGAATCGTATCCCTACAAGGCCGTCAATGACAAGTGTAAATTCAACAGGGCCACGATTGGAGCTACAATCAACGGATTTGTGGCACTGCCAGCAGGTGACGAAAAGAAATTGGCTGAGGCCGTGGCCACCATCGGACCCATTTCCGTGGCCATACATGTCGTTCCCGGATCCTTCCAACACTACTCCTCGGGCGTTTACATCGAGCCAAAATGCAATCCCAAAAAGATTAATCACGCTGTCCTGGCTGTTGGCTACGGCACTGAGGGCGGCAGGGACTTTTGGCTGGTGAAGAACTCCTGGGGAGGCAGCTGGGGCGACAAGGGATACATCAAGATGCTGCGCAATGGGAACAACCAGTGTGGCATCTCCTCGATGGCCTGCTATCCAACGGTTTAGAAGATTAGTACATATACATTTAAGCATAGCTAACACGCTAACAATATAAACACTACATATAATTAGAATGTATTTTCATTAATTTTAAATTGGGCGCAAAAATAATCCTTGGTGGTTTTAAATGGAAATGAACGAAAGTAGTCCTCGGCTGCTTGCAAGCGAAGGCTAAACTTAGCAAAAACAATAATTACTTTAGTATGTTTTTTCAAGGGTAAAATATACATGTATATGTCATGTCTACCGCACCTTCTGGATAGATTAGACAGATAGATTTATACTTTTATAACTCATATCTCACATTATAAGGTGGGTGTATTCCCAGAAGAAGGTTCTTTAACTGATCTTGGCAAAGCCTTACATTGAAGTCAAGATAAAAGTTCAATCCTGTCAGAAATTATTAAATAAATTCAGAGTTACAAATAAGATTGGTAAAAAGATAGCCATAAGAATTGTACAATTTTTGACGCCGAAATGACTAATTCGTCCGGAAAAAAGCACGGTCAGAAGACTTTCTTTATTTATGAAGTATTTCCGAGGTATGAAGCAATCGGGATTACAAAAATTGTATATGCGAATATAAAAATCGTACTGATAAGTAGAGATAAGCATTCATTTAAGCAATTTGAACTTATCCATTGCGCATATAAAAGGCTTAAATATTAAATTGTTTTTATTAAGTATCGAGACGTCTTCGAGAGTTAGTCCTTTAGTAAAGTGTGAATAATCAATTTCTTCCTTGTACAAAATGAGTAAAACCATAATATTTATCCTATTGGCCATGACGGCGCTGGCCAATGCCGCATTATTTGACCAAGTTATCGATAAAGAATGGCTAACCTTCGCCATGGAGCACCGTAAGAACTATAAGGATGCAGCTGAAGAGCAACTGCGCCACAAGATCTTCAAAGAGAACAGGATCAAGATTGCCGAGCACAATCGGCGATTCGCTAATGGAGAGGTGAGCTTCAAGATGGCTGTCAACGAGTATTCCGACTTGACGAGCCAGGAGTTCAGCGATCTGATGACCGGCCTCAACAATAGCGAGCTCGAAGAGATGAGGTAAATATACTATGCATTAATAGTGTTAAACTTACTTTAAATATTCTGAATTTCTTGATTCCAGGATTTTTGATCAGAGCTTGAATGGAAAGACCTTTATATCTCCAGATTACGTGACCCTGCCCGAATCAGTGGATTGGCGTTCCGAGGGAGCAGTGACCGGAGTCAAGAATCAAAAGAGTTGCGGCAGCTGTTGGGCCTTCTCCACCACAGGATCTCTAGAGGGTCAGCATTTCCGCAAGACCGGAAACCTGGTCTCTCTCTCGGAGCAGAATCTTGTAGACTGCTCGGGGGGGTCCTATGGAAATCATGGTTGCAGCGGTGGTACTATGACCCGGGCCTTCAAGTACATCAAGGACAATGGCGGCATCGACACCGAGGAATCGTATCCCTACAAGGCCGTCAATGACAAGTGTAAATTCAACAGGGCCACGATTGGAGCTACAATCAACGGATTTGTGGCACTGCCAGCAGGTGACGAAAAGAAATTGGCTGAGGCCGTGGCCACCATCGGACCCATTTCCGTGGCCATACATGTCGTTCCCGGATCCTTCCAACACTACTCCTCGGGCGTTTACATCGAGCCAAAATGCAATCCCAAAAAGATTAATCACGCTGTCCTGGCTGTTGGCTACGGCACTGAGGGCGGCAGGGACTTTTGGCTGGTGAAGAACTCCTGGGGAGGCAGCTGGGGCGACAAGGGATACATCAAGATGCTGCGCAATGGGAACAACCAGTGTGGCATCTCCTCGATGGCCTGCTATCCAACGGTTTAGAAGATTAGTACATATACATTTAAGCATAGCTAACACGCTAACAATATAAACACTACATATAATTAGAATGTATTTTCATTAATTTTAAATTGGGCGCAAAAATTATCCTTGTCGGTTTTAAACGGAAATGAACGAAAGTAGTCCTCGGCTGCTTGTAAGCGAAGGCTAAACTTAGCAAAAACAATAATTACTTTAGTATGTTTTTTTAAGGGTAATTTTACCCTACATGTATATGTCATGTCTACCGCACTTTCTGGATAGATAAGACAGATAGATTTATACTATTATAACTCATATCTCACATTATAAGGTGGGTGTATTCCCAGAAGAAGGTTCTTTAACTGATCTTGGCAAAGCCTTACATTGAACTCAAGATAAAAGTTCAATCCTGTCAGAAATTATTAAATAAATTCAGAGTTACAAATAAGATTGGTAAAAAGATAGCCATAAGAATTGTACAATTTTTGACGCCGAAATGACTAATTCGTCCGGAAAAAAGCACGGTCAGAAGACTTTCTTTATTTATGAAGTATTTCCGAGGTATGAAGCAATCGGGATTACAAAAATTGTATATGCGAATATAAAAATCGTACTGATAAGTAGAGATAAGCATTCATTTAAGCAATTTGAACTTATCCATTGCGCATATAAAAGGCTTAAATATTAAATTGTTTTTATTAAGTATCGAGACGTCTTCGAGAGTTAGTCCTTTAGTAAAGTGTGAATAATCAATTTCTTCCTTGTACAAAATGAGTAAAACCATAATATTTATCCTATTGGCCATGACGGCGCTGGCCAATGCCGCATTATTTGACCAAGTTATCGATAAAGAATGGCTAACCTTCGCCATGGAGCACCGTAAGAACTATAAGGATGCAGCTGAAGAGCAACTGCGCCACAAGATCTTCAAAGAGAACAGGATCAAGATTGCCGAGCACAATCGGCGATTCGCTAATGGAGAGGTGAGCTTCAAGATGGCTGTCAACGAGTATTCCGACTTGACGAGCCAGGAGTTCAGCGATCTGATGACCGGCCTCAACAATAGCGAGCTCGAAGAGATGAGGTAAATATACTATGCATTAATAGTGTTAAACTTACTTTAAATATTCTGAATTTCTTGATTCCAGGATTTTTGATCAGAGCTTGAATGGAAAGACCTTTATATCTCCAGATTACGTGACCCTGCCCGAATCAGTGGATTGGCGTTCCGAGGGAGCAGTGACCGGAGTCAAGAATCAAAAGAGTTGCGGCAGCTGTTGGGCCTTCTCCACCACAGGGTCTCTAGAGGGTCAGCATTTCCGCAAGACCGGAAACCTGGTCTCTCTCTCGGAGCAGAATCTTGTAGACTGCTCGGGGTCCTATGGAAATCAAGGTTGCAGCGGTGGCTTTATGACCTGGGCCTTCAAGTACATCAAGGACAATGGCGGCATCGACACCGAGGAGTCGTATCCCTACAAGGCCGTCAATGACAAGTGTAAATTCAACAGGGCCACGATTGGAGCTACTATCAACGGATTTGTGTCACTACCAATAGGCGACGAAAAAAACTGGCTGAGGCCATGGCCACCATCGGACCCATTTCGGTGGGCATACATGTCGTTTCCGGATCCTTCCAACACTACTCCTCAGGGGTCTACATCGAGGCGAAATGCGATTCTAGGATAATTAATCACGCTGTCCTTGCCGTTGGATACGGCACTGAGGGCGGCAAGGACTTTTGGCTGGTGAAGAACTCATGGGGAGATAGTTGGGGCGACAAAGGATACATCAAGATGCTGCGTAATGGGAGCAACCATTGCGGCATCTCATCGCTGGCCAGCTATCCAACGGTTTAGGTTATACATATTTCATACCAACTTTTATTTCATTACCTATGCATACCTTTAAAGAATTATTTGATCAATTATACATCAAATAAATTTGAATTGTTCATAGTTATTTTATTAGTTAATTTACGAGTTTTTCGTTTTCAAAAAATCGGAAATTATAAGGTCGTATCCGAAAACCTGGGATTTTATTTAACCAACAATATGTTTTCAAGAAGTTTTAATTTAAACGTAAAGGTCATGTAATATTTAAAAAAAAATTGAACTAGTTTGTGTTTAATTAAGGTTTGACTTAATTTTACACCAATCAAATTTTTAAAAACAGAATGATCTCCAGAAATTCAGAAATCCATAAAATCCGTACTCCCAGCATTATGCTTTGTTTTTCGCAGCTTTCGCTGAGCTTTCAGCTGAGTATTTGTACACAGCGTGTAGAAACCGAAGCAACCAACGAGCTTTTAACGCTGCGCTGAGCTACGCTGCCTACGTCGGCAGCAAAAAAAAATAATAAAAAAAAATTAAAACGAAAGTGAATCGGTTTTTTAACCGTTCGCGGATGACGTTTTTGGCGTCACATTTGCCGTTCGTAAAAAAAACCCGATTCGCCGAGTGAAGGAGACATTTCCGACCCTATAAAGTATATACATATATTCTTGATCAGAATCAACAGCCGAGTCGATCTAGCCATGTCCGTCTGTCCGTCTGTCCGTTTCTACGCAAACTAGTCCCTCAGTTTTAAAGCTATCTGAATGAAACTTTGCATATAGTCTTATATATACTCTCACTGCTATATGTATATGTCGGAACGGGCCGGATCGGACGACTATATCACATTTGCCATACAAATGTTTGATAAATTTTTAGAAAAAAATTATAACTTTGCTGTTTTTCAACATTTTTGCACCATTTTTTAGATATGTCCATTTTATATTATTTCTGAATTTTGGTAAAAATTTTATGGAAATCGAACGACTATATGATATAGCTGCCATAGGAACGATCCGGAAATTAATAGGAATAAAATTATAGCTTCGTTGTTTTTCAACGAATTTCTATTTACTCTGAGATTTAAGCTTTTTTTATTATTCTAAAATTTTGGTATAAATTTCATAAAAATCGGACAGCTATATCATATAGCTGCCATAGTAGCGATCGGTAAATGTATAAAATATATAAAGCTGGGAATGTAAAACTGTAACTGTCAAACTGTAAACATAATAAGTATAGGTAAAATGTAATGAAACTCTGTTTTGTGAGTGTTTTCAGCATTTAAATCTATAATATAAACATCGAAACCAATCTGCAAGGGTATACAAACTTCGGCGTGCCGAAGTTAGCTTCCTTTCTTGTTTTTTAATTGTTATCGCTTTGTCGAAATCTACTTACCAATTCACCT